TTTTTTTTTAAGAAAAGATTTATTATGTATACAGTGTTATGGTCTGTTGCATGCCTACAGGCCAGAAAAGGACATCAGATCTCATTATAGATGGTTGTAACTACCATGTGGTTGCTGGGAATTGAACTCAGGATCTCTGGAAGAGCAGCCAGTGTTCTTAACCTCTGAGCCATCTCTCCAGTCCTGAACATCTGTTTAATATATTTAAGCCTTTTGGATTTCTATCTATCCAGGGACTGTTTTTCTATTGAATTCTTGGTGGGGTTCTACTGATTTCTGTGTATATTAAAAATATAGTTGGACAGTAGTGCACACGCCGTTAATCCCAGCACTCAGGAGGCAGAGGCAGGCGGATCTCTCTGAGTTCAGACCTGGTCTACAGAGCGAGTTCCAGGACAGCTAGGGCTATTACACAGAGAAACCCTGTCTCAAAAAAAACAAACAAAAAAATAAACTCTTGTGATATGTGGAATCCTTCATTTTGTTTCACAGGAAATACCTTATTTCCCAATGTACTTTTTCAGCAACTTTTTTTGTTTGTTTGTTTTGTTTTTCGAGACAGGGTTTCTGTGTATTGGTTTGGAGCCTGTCCTGGAACTCGCTCTGCATACCAGGCTGGCCTTGAACTCACAGAGATTCGCCTGCCTCTGCTTCCCGAGTGCTGGGATTAAAGGCATGTGCCACCAACACCCGACTTCAGCAACTTTTTAGTTACTGTTTTAAAGTTTTAGGTGACATTCATTAGTCTTTATGGCCTCAGGATGTACTTTAGGAATAACAGTGTTAGCCAGTGGCCTCTACACACATGTGCATCTTCACACCATCACATGTACATATACACATATCCTTGCACACATATACATATACTTATACACATACATACACATACATTCATACAAAGAAATAGTTTCCTTTAGCCCTGGAGATTGGACCTTAAACATGCTAATCATGTGTTCGGCCATTGAGCTACACTGTACCCTGCAGCACTTCTCAGTTTTAAAGACTGAGTTTGTTTTAGTTCTGTGCCATAGGTGTGACTTTCAAAGTAACTGTAGAACTGTAATGCGTTTTAAATGTTTGGAACTCTGGGGAAGGAGAGATGGCTCAGCAGCTAAGAACACTCATTGTTCTTGTAGCAGACTTGGGTTTGATTCCCACACTCACACAGTGACTCACAATTGTCTGTCACTCCAGTTCCAGGGGACCCTGTGCCCTCTCCTGACCCCCAACAAGCACTAGGCATGCACGTGGTGCACACACATTCATGCAAGCAAACATTCATACGCATACAGTTACATAGACATAAGGATTTAAGGTATTCCTAGCACTGGAGGACAACTTGGAGGAGTGGGTTCTCTCCTTCTACCTTGTTCTTGGGACTGAATTAGTTTGTTAGTCTTGGTAAGTGGTTTCACCCACTGAGCCATCTCTCTAGACCTTAAATTATTTTTGATATTCTTTGGGATTTCTTTATGCAGAGATCCAAGTTACCCATGAATAAAAACAATCTTTTTTTTTTAAATTAAGGTATTTTAGAATTTTAAAGCAATTTTCTGTTTATTTTTGCTTGCTTATTTCTATGTGAGTTTTAGAATTATCTGGCTTTTTAAGGTTTTCAGTATTTTGCTGGTGGCTTACAAAACACTTAAAGATTAATTTAGGGAGAAATAAAATCTTGTAATTTTTCTTTTCTTTTTTGGTTTTACGAGACAGGGTTTCTCTGTATTGTTTTGGAGGCTGTCGGTCCAGCCCGGCCTCGAACTCACAGAGATCCACCTGCCTCTGCCTCCCGAGTGCTGGGATTAAAGGCATGTGCCACCACCTCCCGGCATAATTTTGCATTTTTTAAGAACATGAGCATTTTTTATTTGTGTCATTTTTTTACCCCTTAGGGGAGAGTATTCATAAGTAAAAACAAACAGCCAGAAGACCCACAAATGTTTTTAATGCCTGTTTCCTTGGAGTTTATTTGCAAATGATGATATTTCTTGTCTCTATTTTTATGCTTACGTCTCCCTTAGTTGAACTACTTTTGTCAGCACCTCTAGCGCATTGTTAAATGATTATGTTGAAATGGAGATTTTTTTTTTTTGTTTTGCTTCTTAGTTTCAGTACTCTGGGGTTTCTCTGTTGTGTAGGTTGGCTTTTCGGTTGGGATGTAACTGATTATTTTCAAAGTTTTTATTGTGCATCAATTTTTTAAAGAAAGCCAACCAGAAAAATGCTAACTCTAAAGAAAAGATACAAAGAATTTGTTTTTCTCTGGACTATGAGGCTAGTGCCAGCTAACCTGATAGTTCATTGGCTCCGACCAAATACCTAAGTGTTTCTTTCCTGCAAACACTATCCTGTGTAGCACAGAGCTCGACCATCAGAACGTTAGCACCATACACAAGAACTTTCTAACTTTACTGTCTGTCTTAGTATCTGCATAATCCACTGCAGTTCAGAATCATGCATAAGCCGGGCGTTGGTGGCGCACGCCTTTAATCCCAGCACTCGGGAGGCAGAGGCAGGCGGATCTCTGTGAGTTCGAGGCCAGCCTGGTCTACAAAGTGAGTTCCAGGACAGCCTCCAAAGCTACAGAGAAACCCTGTCTCGAAAAACCAAAAAAACAAAACAAAACAAAACAGAATCATGCATTGCGTTTCATTTCTGGTCTCTAGTTTTTTTTTATTTGGAATAGTTTTTCTACGACTTTGGCGAATTCACTCTTTTGAAGATCACATGAAGAGACTGATGGCAATAGGTTCTGTTGAGGTTCCTCAGTGTCTCCTTCATCCTTCATGAGAAGTCCTGTAACGTCTGGCCGTGACTTACAGTGCAGTGCCGTGGTCCCATGACCCCTTCAAGTGCACTGCCCGTCTCTGTGCAGTCGCTGACAAGTCTGGGTTCTTTGTTTTGACTATTTAACTAGACTCGTGTGTGAATTGATAGAGTAGTAAAGCAAGTGCCATAAGAGGACGGACAGGTTATGCGGTGAACTGTAGAATCATCCAGGATCAGTGACATGCCAGAAATTCGGAAATAGCCAAAGAATAGAGAGAATGCGGTGTCAGTTTATGTTGGTATTACTTTTCTTGCTTATATTCATTAGGGTTGCAGTTTTTACTAACACTTTTAAGTGTACACATTTGTCTGTCTACGAGATTGGTGGCTTGGCCGAATGAGTTGGGCTGACATATTCTTCTGATGATCTTTGTTTTTATCAGCTTGAAGTACATGTCCTATTATTCAAATATGTCATCTTAGAGTATATGTATTGGATCTTCGAGGTGTGAACAGATACTGTGGAAGTTCAGTGCTATCTGCTGTTTATCCAAATTTGATGGCTTGTTTCAATATACTGTTGAATTGTTGTCAGTCTTTTAGTTATTTTAATAAGCAAAATGTCCTTTTAATTGAAATTAAATTTTAAGAGCTTTTTGAAATGAAAATAAACACATCATAGTAGCCTATTTATAATTGGAAGGTTATGAGAAGAGTAGCAAATTGAATTTTATGTTCATTATGGTACTAAATAAGAATTGAGTCTCATTTAAGTTAAATACACAGTTTATTGGTTTATTCATTAAATCATAGTTGGACAGTCCTCAATATTCTTCAGGGTGTTTTAAAGCCATCCATAAATGTGAAGTTCTTTTTTAAATGGAAAACAGTGCTCTTACACAATTAACAGTGCTGTCTGTCTCTGGTAGGGAGAAGCGGGTGAGAGGAGCATGTGCCGACAGTAAGCGGTGGTTATCTTAAGTTCATCTGAGATGAGCTCCTGCCTGCCTGCCTCCCTGCCATTACAGGGACGCAAACTGCTTGGACAGCTGGTATTCCAACGCCTGCAGTTCTTTAGGCAGAGACGTTAATTCAGTCCTCAGTGGCTTTTCAGTTCCTGACCACTGCTCTTTCCTGTCCCTTTCCTCCTGAAGCCGAGAGCTGTCTGTCGTTTGTCACAGTGAAATGCTGGATCGTTGATGAGGGTCTGGCATCTCACTGTCTTTTTTCCAGTCTCTCTTTTCTCTCAAGTTACATTTCCTTAAAGGAGACGAGAAGAGAGCTATTTTTATTGTTTGTAGGGTAAGTCTAGAGTTAAGTTAAGGACTCCCCTATAAAATTCAGTTGCATCATGAAACTTTTGAACTTTCATAAGTGTATATGATGTGTCTTGGTCATTCCCATCCCCCCTCCATCCCTTTCTCTCCCCTCATCCCCCTACTGGTCCCTATCATCATATCCTATCTTTCTCACAATTTGATGTCTTACTTACAGAGTCCAGTTAGTGCTGCCCATAGGCCCATGTGTATGGGGTCATCCACCGAAGCCCGGGTAACCTACCAGTGCCTACCCCCCCACCCCCGCAAAAGTGACCGTCTTCCTCACCACCCGGTACTAACTAGTTGCTGTTTTCTCCTCAATGAGGGGTAGGGCATAAGGGGTCCTTCCTCCCTCTCATGCTGGAGATGTTTAACTCTCTTCCTCTTGATAATAAAACACTTAATTTGGAAGTTTATGAGAATTCTGGTCATTTTACGTTCCTAACTTCATTATTTATAAAAAATGAAATGTCTTCCAAGGTATAAACTGCACGTCTGCCTTGTACCCTGTGTGTTTTGTAGGTCCCTAGGGAAAATAGGGACCACATGCAGCAACATCCCTTACCCCAAATAAACTGCACATAGGTCTCCTGTGGACATTTTTTTCAAAATAGGACTTCCTAATCTAATATTTAGTTTGCATTGTGACAGATTAGAAAAGGACTTGTGTTGATTGCTAGTCTAAAAGTTCTTTTTTCTTTTTTGTTTTTTGATTCAGGGTTTCTCTGTATTGTTTTGGAGCCTGTCCTGGAACTTGCTCTGTAGACCAGGCTGACCTCAAACTCACAGAGATCCGCCTGCCTCTGCCTCCCGAGTGCTGGGATTAAAGATGTGTGCCACCATTGCCCGGCTAAAAGTTCTTTTTTAAATGTAGCTATTCTGAACCGAGTTTTGCCTTTCTCTCCCTTCCAGGCCCAGATTGCCTTCCTTCAGGGGGAGAGGAAAGGTCAAGAAAACTTGAAGAAAGATCTTGTGAGGAGGATCAAAATGTTGGAATATGCTCTGAAGCAGGAAAGGTAAGTCAGTAAAATCCCTCTGTCCTAACCATCTTCATTATCCTACCATTTCTAAGCTAAAATCATAACTTAATTCCATGCACTCCTGAACCCCAGTAGGGAATAAACATTTTATGTATGATTGCAATATGTTAACCTTATCGTGTGTAACAGTAACTTCAGTAAGGTGATTTATGTGGTCTAAAACATACTAGCCACATTTATTTATTCATACTCTACTTATATGAAGCTTGTGTTCTTCCTAGACTTAGACCGGCGTCCTGCTCTCTGGTTATTTGTTTGTTTGTTTGTTTAGGCTTGTTTGCTTGGAGATAGGGTCTCATACAGCCTAACCTCTATCCTCAGAGTCACTGCGTACATGGTGCTGGCCTTGAACACTTCATCCTTCTGCATCTTAACCCCCATCTACTAGGATTATGGGTCATGACCCACTCTTGTGTTTCTGTGTTTTGTCTGATTTTCTTGGGCGCTACACATGTTGTGCAGGCTCTCTCTCTCTGTCTCTGTCTCTCTCTGTCTCTGTCTCTCTGTCTCTCTGTCTGTCTCTGTCTGTCTCTCTGTCTGTCTCTGTCTCTCTCTCTCTCTCTCTCATTGAGCTATATGTCTAGCACTCAACCACTTATAATAGAGTGCATGCTTCAAACCCAGGACAAAGGGCTGAGGTGCCTATTTATCATATAAAGCAGACCTGGCCTCCAGGTTCTCCCTGCATCCCTCAGTCCTGCCTGTTTCAGGGTATGGCTGGCATACTCCACCTCTACCCTGGACTCCCCAGCACAGGGGCTGGGCTGCCCTTCCCCAGAGGCTCTTCCTATGTAACCCAGACATTTTGGTTAGCTGCCCCTGTTTTTATACCTTTGGCCTCCTGACCCTTACCACCTCCTCCCCACACGCCCACACTGCCGCCCCCCTTACCCACTTTGGTCATGTCCTCTCTGACTCTCGCAGATGTCCCTGCCTCTACCTTCACTCGCCTTCCTATCTGCAATACACTTTCTCCTCCACCACACCCAAGAGCAGTCATGTCCTTTCCTTTTCTTTCTTTTTCCATTCAGAGAGTAAAATTATATTCTAATTGTAAAGCACATTTCTGTAATGGTTCTCCCGTTTTTATAATATAATTTTCAGTTTGATATCCCCGCCTCCCCCCCCCCCCAAGATAGGGTTTTGTGTAGCTTTGTAGACCAGGCTGGCCTCAAACTCACAGAAATCCTCCTGCCTCTGCCTCCTGATTGCTGGGTTTAAAGGTGCATCCTGCTTTCAGTTTGATACAGTTTCTTAAGGAAAAAAAATTGCTCTGATTGACAACACCTTTTCATAGACTTTACAAAAGAATTTTATTCATTTGTCCCTTTGTGAGATACTCTTATCTCCCTGGAGGAAAGCTTGCCTTGTGATTTTGCTAGTGTTACCTTTGGGTCATAAGTAAAGGGAACTAGGTCACATGTGAAAGTTTGGGACATTGTCATGTGGATTCAGTTTTTTTTGTTGTTGTTGTTTTGTTTTTTACGAGACAGGGTTTCTCTGTATTGTTTTGGAGGCTATCGGTCCAGCCCAGCCTCGAACTCACAGAGCTCCACCTGCCTCTGCCTCCTGAGTGCTGGGATTAAAGGTGTGCGCCACCACCACCAGGCAATTTTTGCCTTATTTTTGATAAACAGTTTTTGTTTTATTTTGAAGTTGGCAAATAGACTGTGTGTAAAACCACCATAAAATAACATTAACATAAAATATTTTTAAATGTTGAGAAATTGATATACAAGAGGTTTTTTCCAGTCAGTGAAAAATAAATGGATTTTTCTATGCCTTAAGAAGTTGAATCAAAGTGACATTAGGGAGATAGAAAGAAAAAAAATTTTTTGAGGTTTTGAGACAGGTTTTCTTTGTGTAGCTTTGGAGCCTGTCCTAGAACTCTCTTTGTAGACCAGGCTGGTCTACAATTCCCAGCAACCACATGGTGTCTCATAACCATGTACAATTCAATCTGGTGCCCTCTTCTGGCATGTAGGCAGAACACTGTATATGTAATAGATTAAAAAAAAAAAAAAAGAACTCAAGGCAAGACGTTGGGGCAGGAACTAAAACTTTCTGGCTTGCTCCATTTGCTTTGGTTTATGTTGTTTGTTTTGTTTTTCTGTTATCTTTCATTTTCAAAAATGTGATTATTTTTATGCATATGGGTGTTTTTTTGTGTGCATGTATGTCTGTGCACAGTATATGTACCTGGTATTGAATCTTCTGGAACTAAGTTACAGACAGGTGTGAGCGTCCATGTGGCTGCTGGGAATTGAACCCAGGGCCTCTGGAAGAGCAGTCAGCACTCTTTAACTGCTGAGCCCTCTCTCCAGCCCCTTCATTTGCTTTCCTGTGCAACCCTGAACCACCTACCAGGGGTGGCAGTGCCCACAGTAGGCTGGGCCCTCCTACATCAACCTTTTTTAAAAATTTTTCTGAAGATCTTAATAAATGTCAAACATATATACACATATAAATTTCAAAAGAGAATTTATCAAGAACATTGAAATTTTGAGTCATTGACTTTAAATTCATGTTTCTCAACAAATTGAGATTTTACAGATAGCCTTTGATAAGTTTGGTCTTTCAATACATTATTAATATTTAAATATCAAAATATTTAAATTAATTCCTTTCTATTCATTTAAGATTGTCCCCCTGGATTTCTTGGCAGCTGTATTAAGATTTGCTTCGTGAAATACTTACTTATTTCACTTAAGTGTATACTTCAGTGTTCTTACTGGCATTCATACTTTAGAGGTATAACATAATGATTTCTATATAATCACAATTATGAGAATACTATAATCTTAAATTAATCACACATTTTGGTTTCTCAGTGCATATAGAAAATGTGTCTTTAAAAAATGCACATGCTTCAATGTAAGATTTATATCCTAATGATTAAACACTGTCTCTTGAGTCTTGAGGAGATGTCTCCTTGTGGAAGATACTGCTTCTATGTGGATGATGGTTAGTGCATCAAGTTGGTACCTGCTCAAACTTCCTACATCAATCTTTAATCAAGAAAGTGCCCTACAGATATTCTCACAGACCAATCTGATGGAGACAGCACTTTAATTGTGGTTTCTTCTTCTCTAGATAACTGGAGTTTGTGTCAGGTTGACAAACCAGCACAGTGTCCAGACCCAGAGACTTAAAACTAAGTAATTGTAGAGTTGTAGGTCAGATCTCTCCAGACAGAATCTAAAGCCTGTACTATTTATTATTTTGTTGTCTTTAAGGCAGTAGAACTGAAGCACAAAATTACTAAAGCTACCAGAAATGTGTGTGGAGGGGAGTGCAGGCACACGCACATGAAGGCTTGTATGTAGACTTATAAACCACAGACGTGCACTGGGGTGCTGGGGGCTAACGTAGAACTATGTATATGATACATAGTGGGGTCAGAAAAGAGGAAGCAGCTGCACCATCATCCCGAAGAGGCTTGAGCAGCATCATGACAGATAAGATGCCTCACCAGTGAGACATGTAGAAGGGAGAGAGGTCACATTAGACCCAAGCAATGTGCTCAGTAATCACATGTGTGCAGGGCGTTAGAGTGGAGTGGGCGTTGGTATTTGACGACTGCAAGTGGAGATGGGTGCACAGGTGTCAGATTGTGGAGTCTACTTGAGGAGTTCAAGCGTTCACCCCAGTGTGGTAGGAAACATGGAGAACTTTCAAAATGTTTCTATCAAATGATCTTGAGCTAATTAGAGAATTGCAAGAGTTCTTTTATACTCTTTACTCAGATTTGCCAACTGTATATTTATCTTTGCTTAATTATAGTCAGTGTCAATGGGCCTATTGTTTTTTCCCCTAAATTATTTGCTTAACTCTCTCCTAACTAGTTAATGTATAATTTCTTTTTTTTCCTGTGTTTTCTGAGAGCAAAAACCTTCTCTTTTCTAGCCACCATGTGCTATTAATGAAACTTAATGCTGCTGTAATTGTTACTTATTCAGATGTCCTGAGAGTGACCCAGTCTGGGGTCATGCGGCTAGGGCAAAGTTTTAAGCACAGCATAGAGTTTAGAAATATCTCCCTGGGGAGTGTCCTGGAGAGATCTGCTTATCAGGGCAGGAGCATTATAAAAAACGAGAAACGATAAACATAGTACCTGCTGGAATATAGCAGTATCTGCTATAAAACATTCTATGTGCAAAGAATGTAAAATGTGGAGTTATAAAAATGTGGGGATGGCATCCTGAGAGAGAGAGAAGGGAGAGTCAAGAATGACTCCCCTGTGTCTGTCTTGGTAGGGAGGAAGAGAGCACGGGTGAGCGTGTATGGCTGATGAGGCATATCATAGGAGAGAAAACTGGTTGGAGCCTGGGAAGCAGGTGCCTTAGGAAAGGGATAAAGAGGAAGAGCCACAGAGGAGTCTCTTGAGGACCAGAGAGCAGTGTTTGGGAAGAGGAAGGAGAGGAGTAGACACCGGCAGACGTGGTCTCCAAGCAAGCTGTGGCTGAGAGAGTCATTGGGTTTGCCCATTGGTGTTGTCCTTGACAGGATGGCTCCCCAGACATGGCAAGAACAGGAGCCAGGTCACAGGAAGAAGCAGAGGGAAGGGACAGCGGGGACAGGCGAGCCCGCTGACTGTTTCCAGATGATTGTCGAGCAGAGGAGAAAGAACTGGTTAAGTCTAGGAAGATTTCTTTTCTTACCCCATCCCCTAGCCCTAGCCCTAGCTCTAACCCTAACACTAACCCTAATCTCTTTTCTTACCCTATCCCCTAGCCCTAGCCCTAACCCTAACCCTAACCCTTTTCTTACCCCATCCCCTAATCCTAACCCTAACCCTAACCCTCACCTTTAACAGTTGCTATGTTTGTCACTTGTTTTGCCCTGTGCTGTTTTTTAAATTTAATTTTGTTATATCAGTTTATTGGAGTAAAGTCACACATAGAGACATCACACAGCAAGATTAAGGTAGCCACTCAGACGCCTGTGCAGTCATGCATCTCAGCTAACGTTTGTCCAGTTAGAACTGTCCTTCTGAAGTTAGACCTTCACTTCTGGTTTCATGCCTTCACCATCAATTACATTTTTGTGGCCCTGGTCCACTTAAAAGAGGTTCAGTATCATGCCATTTCACCTGTAAACATCTAAGGTCAATGAGTCTAATATAGATGAACTATTCACCTAACTATGAATCTTGCAGAGCTTTGCCTAGCACGTGATAGACTTTATAGACCAGGTTTACATGCTTCTTTTCAATAGTGCAGTGTTTCCTTTGGCATTTTTCATCACTTTTAATCCTGAGGAACTTCAGATCTGTGTGAAACTGACTTTGAAACTTTCTCCTGTGTTTCCTATTTCTCCATATTCACTGTTACTTTTATCTTTACTGTGATAGTCCAACTGTCTTCTTGCTTTTTTATTTCCAAATTCGAATTCATCTTCTAGGTAATAAAATTAATTTTCCAAATTAAACGGAATAATCATGCTATATCCCTGCTTTAAAATACCTCGTTAATTTCAAAGCTATTCCTATGTAAGTAGCACTTTTTTTTTTTTGGTGTCTTCTTTGAATTCTGTTCCTTCTCATTCTTTTGCTTACTAAACCTAGTGTTTGTAGCATTTTGGCCCACTGGATGTTTATGTTTTAGGAGACAGAGCTTGTCATAAACACAAAGCAGTTATTTGTGAAAATCTAGACAGAACTATCTTGTACATCTTACTGATTGAGGTTTAGTTAAAATCTCATGTTACCTTTTCTATAGCTTTATTTGACCCTGCACACCAGAAGAGGGCACCAGATCTCATTACAGGTGGTTATGAGCCACCATGTGGTTGCTGGGGATTGAAGTCAGGACCTTTGGAAGAGCAGCCGTATCTTAGGAGTCAGAGCTTGTCCTAAACACAACAGTTATTTACATATTCTGTCTTGGTCTCAATTTTTGTGAAATAGTAGTTGATAATGTAACTGTTTTGTTCCATATATTGTATATAATGTTTTCTGATTATTTTAAAAATAACTTCTCTTGCAGTTTTCTTCTAAGGCCACTAGAATGCTCTATAATGCAGCATGTTATATTGGGAAATGCTTTCTCAATGTTTGCATAATATAAATAAGGTCATGCAATTTGTGGCTACTTTTATTTGAATGTTACTGTTATCCATCGTTGGGCCAGTTATGTGACTTTTAAGAAGCTAGTATCACTTTGTCTTACAGGAAATGGAAATGAAATATTTCTGGAAATCTGTAGAATGGCAATTACATTAAGAACCTGTTTACTTTCTTGTAACTGTAGTCAAACTAATGTCTCCACAGTTTACCTTCTGATCATCAGTTCTATTTCAAGTGTATGGAAATAGATTTGGAAAATTTTAGTTTAGTAATGAAATCATTGTTTTAAGAGACACATCGGAAATACGAAGAAGCATGTTTTAGATAATTTTGTGCTTATAATGTTGTAAATTGTCTTAAAATTTCCCCAGTGTACAAAAACTAGTAAATTAAAGTTTTTTTCTCTGTGCCTACAAAATGATTGTTGAAAAAAAAATGAAGGATTTTGGTAACATATATTGGAGTGAATAATTTTCTTTATCTAATTTTAAATTACATAAAACCTTAGAAGTGTTCCATCCATTTAAAAAATTTAATATACTTTTATTTTGTGTGTGTATACTTTTTGCCTATATGTATACCACGTGTGTACCTGGTGATAAGGAGGGCTTTGGATCCCTGGAACTAAAGTTACAGATGATTGTGAGCCGTTACCTCAGGAAGAGTAGCCAGTGCCCTTATCTGATAACCCATCTACCCAAAACACCCACCATACACACCCCACCCTACACACCCACCCTACACACACACCATACACACCCCACCATACACACCCCACCATACACACCCCACTCTACACACCCACCCTACACACCCACCATACACACCCTACCCTACACACCCACCATACACACACCCACCATACACACCCCACCATACACACCCCAACATACACACCCACCATACACACCCCACCGTACACACCCACCATACATACACACCATATACACCCACTATACACACCCCACCGTACACACCCACCATACACACACACCGTACACACCCACCATACATACACACCATACACACCCACCATACACACCCCACCATACACACCCACTATACACACCCCACCGTACACACACACCATACACATACACCGTATACACACCCACCGTACACACCCCACCGTACACACCCCACCGTACACACCCACCATACATACACACCATACACACCCACCATACACACCCACCACACACACCCCACCATACACACCCACCATACATACACACCGTACACACCCCACCGTACACACCCCACCGTACACACCCCATACACACCCACCGTACACACACACAGCATACACACCCCACCATACACACCCACCGTACACACACACCGTACACACACCCCACCATACACACCGTACACACACCCCACCGTACACACTCCACCGTACTTACCCACTATACACACCCCATTGTACACACCCACCATACACACCCCACCATATACACCATACACACCCACCATATACACACACCATACAAACCCACCATAGACACCCCACCATAGACACCCCACTTTACACACCCCACCATACACACCCACCATAGACACACACACCATACACACCCCACCATACACACCCCACTATACACACACCACCGTACACACCGCACCATACATACACACCATACACACCCACCATACACACCCCATCACCTGCACAGCATTCATTTTTAATGAGAAGGAAATGCTTTCTATTTGGCTACATTGCCTTTTCCTTCATTCTTAATTTGGTTCTGAAAATTATTGTTTTCTTTCTATATTTTTATTTTTGTCCGTCTTAACTCTTTGGATATTTACTTACAAAAAGCTTTATCTTATAGAGAAAAAGTTAAAATATGCAAATATATTAAGCATATGTGCTTTTTTTTCTTTTTAGTTAATCTTTAAAAAAAATTCTCCTTGCCAGGGTTGGTGGCACACACCTTCAATCCCGGCACTCGGGAGGCAGAGGCAGAGGATCTTTGTGAGTTCAAGACCAGCCTGGTCTATACAGCGAGTTCCAGGACAGCCTCCAAAACAATACAGAGAAACCCTGTCTCGAAAAAACAAAACAAAACAAAAATTCTCCTTATCTGGATCATTTTTCTTGTTTCATTTGCATAGATCTGAGACTGCTAAATCAGATGGCTGAAAATAATAATAATACTCTGCTAATTTTAGAAGGAAATTAGACAGTCTTCCTAATCCTGCTTTTTTCTGACTAAAGACAAAGTGTATGTTGACTAAGGGAAATATTTGACCATTCCTGCTAGAATATCTCATTGAACAAGGATGATTTCATCTTTTTTCTGTCATGCTTGATGGCTCACCATAAGAATGTTTGGTGAATTGTAAATACACAGTGCGGTGCATAACAATATGGGTAATGTTTCTTTTTAAGATAAACTCAAATATCAGGAAAGGTACTCTTAACAATTAAATTGTACAGTGAAGACCTCTTTTATTCATTGATATAATTCAGCTTAAAGTCATCTAGAAAATTTGAATACAACAGAAATAGAATTTATATGGTTCATTCTAGTATAAAATGAAGTTTTCTCTTTATTCCTAGTGTTATCCTTTTGTTTCATTATAATGACAGTGGGTATTCAACAACAAAAAAAAGGCAAGCATTTTTTTGTTTCATGTTACTTTGACACCCTGGAAATCTCAGAGCCTTTGACAGTTCTAGGCGTGGCTAGCCAGGACTATTGCACACTGTTAACTTCTCTATTTTAAAGCTTAGTTAACAATGTGTTAACATGGCTTGTATTTTCTCATTTCTTTGTTAGAGCCAAGTACCACAAATTGAAATATGGGACCGAACTGAATCAGGGAGACATGAAGCCTCCAAGCTATGACTCTGGTAAGCTGCTTATAAAGGAAGTTTTAGTGTGAAAAAGTTAATTCCAATGTTTTGTAGAAACATTTGAAACTAAGTTAGTATATATTTGCATCTTATCTTTTGCTGTCTTGCTTTTTGAGCACTAAGCGTTTAGTCTCCTGAGATCGTTTTGTAGCACTTATTTCTTCATTTGCATCTCTTTTAGCTCACCATTTTCTCCCTATGTTTTTCATGTAGTAGACGGTTCAGACATAGTGGGGTAGCCTGCTCCCACCTCACTTCTTACTGTGTCTTCCCTGTATTAGCAGAGACTGTAGGCATGAGCAAAACAAAGTGCATGCTGTCCTTGAAATCACAGAAACACAGTGTTTGATCGTTGGCAGGTGTAAAGGAGGTGTGAGGAAAACTGTACCAAAGCTATTACCATACTTAATTCTTGTCATATTTCAGATGTGATTCTTATTCAACTAGTGAAGGTGTTGACGATCATTCTATCCTTTATTAAAATCCATAGTTCTAAGGGCTTTATTAGCTTTAATTCTTGAAATAATCATTTAATAAAGATATTATTATTCTCATTTTATGTATGCAAAACTTAAACTTAGGAAGTTGGAAAGATCTTGCCTGAGGTTAACCAGTTATTAAATGATGTGGAATATGGAGTTGAACTCAGGCTTATCTGACTCGAAAATTCATATTCTTCCCATTTCCCCACATTTGAGTACACTGGAGAAGCGTTCCAAAATGGGTTCTAACTGTAATAGCCTTACTTTACATCCCAGAATATTACAAATATGCTCTTAAGATTTCCCTGAATTTTTTGATATCTGTTGTCTCTCTGCTGACCTCTAATTTTATCATTTTGAGTTTTCTATGTCTTTTAGCTAGTTCAGCTCAGGGTTTGTCAATCCTGCCTATCTTTTCAAGGCACTAACTCATCATTTCACATATTCTTTGCATTTTTTCCATCTTATTTATTTCTGATCTGGTGTTGATAATTTCTTTCTACCTACCGCTTTGGGGTTTTCATTTGTTCTTGTTTTTTCAAACTTTTGAGGTACATTTTTCAGTTACTTATTTGAGTTCTTACTCTTTCCTTATTTTCTTATTTTTAAATTGTGTATGAGGTGCATGTTCACGTGCTATCGGGTGCAGGTTTCTGTAGTGGCCAGAAGAGGGCATTGCTCTCGTGGAGCAGGTGTTACAGGTAGTTGTGAGCCACCTGATGTGGATGCCGAGAGCTGAACTCAGGGCCCTCTGCAAGGACAGCGCACACTCTTAACTGCTGAGCCCTCTCTCCAGTCCCTCTGTCTGCCTTTTACTCTTACTCGTAGGTGCTTAAAGCTCTAAGTTTCCCTGTTCAGTTTGCTTTCATTGTCCCAGAGGTTTTGATGTAGTGTTTTCATTTCAATTTCATTCCAAGAGTGTTTTTCCTTCTTCATTTCTTCAGTGGTCAGTTCGACAGTTAATACTACCTTGTTTTGTTTAGTCGGGGTCTCACCATGTAGCCTCTGCTGTCACAGAACTCACTAAGGTCTGCCTGCCTCTGGGCCAGCACACTAGCTCCAGACTTACTCTGTGCGTTTTCTATAGTTTCCTTGTTACTGATATCAAGCTTTATAGCATTGTGGTCATATACAATACATGGAGTTATTTCAATTTTTCTAAATTTGTTGAGAATTTCTTTGGGTCCCAGAACATGTTTATTTTAGGGAAACTTCAATGGACTGTTTAAAAGAATGTGTATTCTAAAGCCGGGCGTTGGTGGCTTACACCTTTAATCCCAGTACTCGGGAGGCAGAGGCAGGCGGATCTCTGTGAGTTCGAGGCCAGCTTGGTCTACAGAGCGAGTTCCAGGACAGCCTCCAAAACAATACAGAGAAACCATGTCTCAAAAAACCAAAAAAAAAAAAAAAAAAAAAAAAGAATGTTTATTCTATAATGTTTGGGTAGACTATCTTGTAGATATCTGTTAAGTCCATTTTGTACTTGATGACATTTAACTTCTTTTATTTTTTGTTAATTGAAGTCACCTGTCATTACTTTAGTGTGGTTAAGTCTGCGTTACTGTTTACTTGTATTTCATGAGTTTGGATGTGCTGAGTTCAGTGCTCTGTGGTTTGTTTGATCAGAATGAAATGGCCTTCCATACTTTCTCTTAAATTCTGGCTGATGTCCATGATGTCAGAAATTAGAGTAGTGTATCTTCTTGTTTCCTGGTCCATTTGGTTGCAGTTACTTTCTTTCCTTCCATTCACTCTAAGCAGTATCTGTCCTTGACAAGAGGTGTAGTTCTTGTCAACAGCAGAAAGATGGGCCCTGTTTTCTCATACAGCTGGTTCTAATACAGTTGTAGCTTTTGCTTGGGAGTTTGAGGGCGCTGATATTTGGAGCTCTTCTTATTGAGAGATGGGTATTAATCACCGTTGTTTTGCTGATTTTATGACATGTGGTATGTAGCACAAATAAAAAAGACCCAGAGACTGATCTTGGCGTTAGATCAGAGAAGCAAAGTGACCAACCCCTAGAGTGTTCTCACCTCTACCAATGCTCAGACCACAGGGCAAGTCACCGAACCTCAGACTGCTCCAGGGTACACTGCTCCTCAGACTACACTGAGTTCCTGTCTTCTCCTGCCTTGGAATTCTCTCTAGTGCTGGGATTAAAGGTGTGGAATCCCAAGTGCTGGGATCACCTTTGTGTGATCTCTGTTTTTCTTTTAGACTGGATCAGTTGCATCTAGCTCAGGGTGGCATTGAACTCACATAATTTGTCTGCCTGTCTCTGTGCTGTAACTAAAGGTGTGTACCACCACTGGTTGGCCTCTGTGGAAAGCTAGTGTGGGTAGCTTTACACTCTGATCTTCAGACAAGCTGTGTTGGTCTTACTTTGCATACCTGTTAACTTGTCATCATTAGTCTTTTTCCCTGGAGTCTCTTGGGTGTGCTTATGTTAAAGTTCACCCCAGTGTATCCCTTGTATTCTCTGTAGGCCGCATTGTTAGTCACAAAGTTCCCATCGAGAGGCCGAGTTTATTCTCATGGCCTGCTCTTTATATGTAACTTATTTCATTTGTCTGTAGTGGCCCACCCCTCTGTATATTTAGTGTTTTAGCTGTAACATAGTGTTATAGCTAAAGGACCTCCTCTGGTCCATTGCTGGGGACCTGGAATTCTTCTCCTTCCCTTATGTCCATAATTCTCAGATTTGGTAGTTGCGTGGTATCCCAATATTCTTGTATTTCTGTTCATATATTTTTTTAAGTTGCCATTGTCTTTAATCGAAGAAACCTGAGAGGGGAGTTAGTCTCTTACTGGGCCGTGGAAGCAATGGGAAGGACCCAGGGCAGGGGTGGACTGAGCAGCTTGAGCCTAAGAGAGGGTCTGTCTGGTGGTGTGCTCAGCGTAGGGTCCTGCAGGCAGAGTTCTCCATTCTGAGAATCTGGGGCTCACCAGTCAGCTAGACAGACTGGCAGCAAACATCAGGTACTGTCTGTCTCCACCTCCTCAGTGGTGGGAATATAGACATGACTGGCTTTTTTTCTTTTTAAGTATTTTAGTTTTTGAGGCAGGGCAGTGGTGGCACACACCTTTAATCCCAGCACTTGGAGGCAGAGGCAGGTGGATTTCTGTGAGTTCGAGGCCAGCCTGGTCTACAGAGCTAGTACCAGGACAGCCTCCAAAGTCACAGAGAAACCCTGTCTCGAACAACCAAAAAAATTTTTTTTTAGTTTTTGAAATACGAATGCTAGCATTTAATTCAAAGCTACATGTTTATGTAGCAAACACTTTACTACTGATTGAACTATGACCCTGAAACTCCAGCAAAAAAATTATTTAAAAAGAATAAATGGGCAATTTTTTAGAAAAGACGATCACTATCTGATTTAAAACATGTTTAATCAGTGTTTTGATGAAACACACTGCTTTGTGTGTGTGCATGAGAGTATGTATTTGCAATTATTTTAATCCCCCCATACAATTCACAGAGCTCTTTAGTAGTGCAAAGGTCTAGTTTTTCTGCATAAAGGAGCTTTATTGGGGCTAGGTAGATGACTTGGCTATTAGGAGATTGAGAGCCCAGTCTGGTCTTCAGCTTTTGATCTTGCTGTCTCTGCCTCCCCATATGGATTATAAATTTGTGCCACTGTGCCTGGTCTCATGCAGTGCTTGGGATAGAACCCACGGCTTTAAGCATGCCTGGCCAGCTTGTGTTTGTTCATTTTGGTTTTGTTTTGTTTTTGAGACAGGGTTTCTCTGTGTAGCTCTGGCAGTCCTTGAACTCAGTCTATAGACCAGGCTGGCCTCAAACTCAGAGATCCACCTGCCTCTGCTTTCAAGTGCTGGGACTAAAGGTGTGTGCCACTGCCACCCAGCTCTGAGATCATTTCTTTACACATTTGCATCAGACTGCTTGGGGTTTTGCTTGTTTTACTTTTATTACCATTTCTAGGTTTTATAACATATCTATTTGGCTCTCACTCTGTAACATGATTTGATAGGTCTAGTAAAAAGTGGAAGAAAAAAATTTTTAATTTTGTTACTCTTAAGGGAATCCAGTAGAGATAACTTAATCATACAGAGTTTTATAACCAAAATTTGAGTTAAAAACAGTTCATATTGCCCTAAAACATATCTCTTAAAAGTCACAGTTTTCATATTCTTAACCTTATAATGTTTATTGGACACTGTTTATAAATTGCCAAAACATATCAAAAAAGTCAATTTCATTATGATTTAATATTCTCCAGATGAAGGCAATGAAACAGAGGTGCAGCCACAGCAAAATAGCCAGTTAATGTGGAAACAAGGCCGGCAGCTACTCAGACAGTAAGTACGCAGGATTAAATGTACAACTTGCTGAAAGTGAGAAAATTTTGTTCATGCTTTTTTTGTTTGCATTCTTCAAAAAATTTACTTATGTATGTATGTATGAACTTATTATGTGTTTTGCCTGAATGTATGTCTGCATGCTGGAAGAGGGCACCAGAACTCAATGTATGTAGTTGTGAGCCACCATGTGGTTGCTGGGAATTGAACTCAGGACCTCTAGGAGAACAGCCAGTGCTCTTGACCTATGAGCCATCTCTGTAGCCCCCTTGTTTGTATTTTTAATTCATGAGTTTCTCCTGTATTATACTACTGCTGAAAGAAATAATTAGTAAGTTAGTTTTTTAAAAAAACTTAATTGATTTACTATTCTTTTTTCATATTTACATTTCTCCACACTGTTGGAATTTATGTAGTTGAAAGAATTCTATGTCATTATTATTCTCATTTCATCAACTCTCTAAGCATAGACGTTTTGCTCCAAACCAACAAGGGTTCCCATGTACGTTTCTGTTACAAGCATTTTCAGTACATTGAAGAGCTCTGTGGATCCCCGTATTTTGTATGCTGCCTAATACATACTTCCTCCTAAATGTGTAACTGGGATTCTACAAGGGGTCTGATGTCAAGTTGAAGGCTAGACCTGTAGCCTTGTAAACTGGTATATGGATTTATGCCAAAGTAAAAGGAAATGTATTCTATATTGAACTTTTGGGATGGCTTATTAGTAGTTTATTTCTAAGTTTTTCAAAGTAGACTAATGCTATCTATTCCTTTTGATTATAGAAAAAGAATATTATAGTATCTCATCTGTCTTTTATTTAGATAAAGTTAGAAAAAATTTAAATTATTACGTGGATTTTCATTACTGTTTTCACTTTAGTCTTAATAGGACATATATTTTCCTTTTTAAATTTATTTTTGGTACTGTGAGTTACCACGCCAAGCAAGTGATCTCTTTCTGAGCCACGCAAAGCTCCTGTTTGCTTGTTTTCTTATCTCTTTATTGAGGTGCTCTCAGTAAGTTACCTAGGCTAGTCCTGATTCTGTACTATTCCTTCCTGAACTTCCCCAGTCGCTTTGTGTGCCACCGTGTGGTATGCTTTTTCAGTTTTTAAATAGATAAGTGCTCTTAAAATGCTGATTTGGGAGGCTGGAGAGATGGCTCAGAACTTGAGAGCACTTTCTGCTTTTGCAGAGGACCTGGATTCAGTTCCCAGGACCCACATGGCCGCTCTCAACTGTCTGTAACTCCAGTTCCAGGGGACCTGACACCTGCTGCTGTTCTCTCAGGCACCAGGCACACACATGGTGCACAGATTAACATGCAGGCAAAACACCCATACACATAAAATAGTAATAGTTATTTTTCATTTCCAAGAACAGTTTCTCTGTGTAGCCCTGGCTGTCCTGGAACTTGGTCTGTAGAGCAGGCTGGCCTTGAAATCACAGGCCTTTCTCTACCTCCTGAGTACTGGTATTAAAGGCATGCACCACCACTCTGGCTTATAAAATAGTAATCATTTTTAAAATGCTGATTAGTTTTTTGTTTTGTTAATAAGTGGTTACAAATAAGAAATTTTCCAACTTTAAAAGATTCGTTACCTACTTCTCAAAAAGGTGCAATTTTATCAGTAAGCTATGCATTAACTATGTAATGAAATTAACATCTGTGGCAAAACAGTTTTGAAACAGAAATTTGATTTTAGTTTTGTTGCCAAAGGGAGGTACATACCAAATATTAATTTATTGCCGGGCGTTGGTGGCACACGCCTTTAATCCCAGCACTCGGGAGGCAGAGGCAGGCGGATCTCTGTGAGTTCGAGGCCAGCCTGGTCTACAAAGTGAGTTCCAGGACAGCCTCCAAAGCCACAGAGAAACCCTGTCTCAAAAAAAAAAACCAAATATTAATTTATTAAAAATAGAAAAATGGCCTGGAGATGGCCTAGTAGTTTCAAGCCCTGGCTGCTTTTCCGGAGACCTGGGTTTGGTTTCCAGAACCCACACGGTGGCTCACCACTATTTGTAACTGCAGTTCCAGGGTATCCAACACACTGTTCTAGTGCTGCAGACACCAGGCACGCGTGTAGTACACATACACATGTGCGGTACACATACACGTGCACACAAGACATATACATGTAAATAAGCCTAAAATGTTTAAGTATTATATCTTACTTTATTATAGTAGTTTTCAAAAACATCTGATTAAATTCAACAAGTAGGAATTATTCCTTCAAAATTTCAAATCAAGATCTTTCTGTAGATACTGCATGGGACTGAAAGTGAGCATCTTGATTTAATAAGATGTACTATCCCATTTGATCACATCGCTTTGTGTGGTATCTTTTAGCTCTAGGGACTGTAAAAATGAAAGCCTGAAGTAAACTGATTTAAACTAGCTGTCTTGTCATCCTTCGCTTCCATCTTGCCTCAGTAGAACACACACTGCTATATAAATAAATGCATGTCATTATACGTGATATCGATGTCATTTCCTTTGTTCTGGCCCCACCGCTGCCACTTTTGGTTTTTGAAACACATTATTATTAACAGTTAATGTTGGGGCTCTTCGGTTAGAGTGATTTTGTTTATATCATGCGTGGTATTAGGGCTCCTTGATGAGAACAGCTTGAGGTAAGGCTGCTGCACATCACGGAAGTGGCAGAAATGGACTTAAGACCCAGGTGTTTGTGCTCTTTCCTGTGCCTCTGACTCCCTGGAACTACACACATCACATGAGTCTGTATACCTCACGTCCCACAATTCAGTTGTCTCTTCTACAAGTGACTGTTATGAAAAATGTTATCCTTTTCTGTGTCATGGAAGGAAACTATTTACAAGCATTCTCTCTGGATTTCAGTTAATGACACTTCACATAAGAAATGCCAAAAGCAGCTAGAGCCGTTGTAAAATAGTAATGGTGGAGTTGGGAGGGAAACGTGTGCTCTGAAATGCGTCGAAGAGCAGTGTCTTCTTAGGGTAGATGAATAGCGTTGTTGTGTAGTGCTTTGGTTTTTCCCAGTGCCTGTAGAGGCTGGCACTGCAAGAGGCCGCTCCATCTGCAGCTGGAGTATTGTTAACAAGTCTCACTGACACAGCACTGTTCTGTTGAACCCCGTGCAGTCAGTGAGTTTGAAGAAATACTTTTATTTGTGTTTTAGATCTTACAATGCTAATTCCTGTGTGACTGAATTGTGAGGATCGTCTTTGTGCAGGTATCTCCAAGAGGTTGGCTACACAGATACTATTCTAGACGTGAAATCCAAAAGAGTACGAGCATTGTTGGGCTTCTCAAGTGATGTCACTGACAGGGAAGATGACAAAAACCAGGACTCGGTTATAAATGGCACAGAGGCTGAAGTTAAAGAGACAGCAATGATTGGGTGAGTATTTTGACTGGTAATTATTTTAGATATAAATTCAGTTCTTATTGAATATTTTTGCCATGGAAGGCATTGAGCTTTTAAATGGTGACTTAGTAATAATTTAATTTTAGTTAATTAAGTGTTATAATTAAAAAGTTTATTTAGTTAGAAGCCTTTATTCAGGAAGGTAATTTTTATTTAAGGTATTTTCATTTGCTTTAAATTAGGTATTTAACAGATTTTAGTATCTTGAAGCTCAGCTAATCACTATTAGAATGTCATAAAAGATGTTTTTGAAATTAAATACAAATCTGTAAAAATCATGTTTTATTGATGAACCATAAATCAGAAAGTAAGTCTTTCTTAATCATTTCATTTATAGCATAATATTGTTACTTATCTTTCTTTTGATAAACATACACATATATTTTGGAATTAATAGATTAAGTATGAAAATGCAAGTTATTTGAACTATTTGATTTTATTTACTATTTTACCTAAATGAACATAGACAAATACAGATTATTCTTTAATAGAGACATTTGTCATAAATCTTCATGAAATAAAAAACAGATTCTGTGAATGTATAAGTGTATGTTTATTTTGTTTTAACTCATATTTAGGCTAAAAGAATGGTTGATTGAACTCTGTAAATTTCTTTGGGAAGACATAGTTCCTGTTATTTGAAACATAAAACTATAGAATTAGACAAAGGTTTAAAATAAAAATTTTATAAATGAATTCCATTAGACCTTAAAAATATAACATAATTCTCATATAAGATATGTATGCTATGAATAGTTGTGTGTTGCCTTTTAAGTTAAGGCAGTAGATCTGCTACATAGTTATGGAAACTTACTTGGGAGGTCAAAGGAAGAGCTGCAGAGGAGAAACGATAGAGAAAGATGGGGCAGTGCTACTTAAAATAATAGATATATGTGTATTTAGAGGAGCACAGAGGGGCCGACATGAAGATGAGTCTGTGCTGAATCAGAAGGGCCTGCACTGGAGCTGCTCTTGCAAATGGACACGACTGATGTGCCTCCACACTGCTACTTACGCTGCTCCCGCAAAACTGTAGGAGATGGGAGCTAGTGAGGGTCATGGTATAGTTAGGCAATCATGTATAACAAAACATAAACGACTGAGCCCTGTCAGCAGTCATTTCTATGGTGATGCTTTGAAAGAGTACTTGATATGGTTGTGTGTGTTTTAAACCAGAAAATCTGAGTTAACGGATTCTGCCTCTGTGCTGGACAACTTCAAGTTCCTTGAAAATGCAGCTGCAGATTTCAGTGATGAAGATGAGGACGAGGACGTTGATGGAAGAGAGAAAAGTGTCATTGATACTTCCACAGTGAGTTAGAAAGCTCATTTCATTATCTTTAGGTGCCATAATGCAGTTGTTAAAAATAAAAAGCCTTTACATCTTGAACCCTTAAGTTCTTTTCATGAGTTTGGGGCAAGTAAAACGGTTTTCTTGCTGATTTTAATTTTAGTGTATTTTTAATAGGAGTCTTTCCCATGGAGTGCTTAGATCTTTTGTTGACTCATTTAACAGGGCAGCATGTCCATAGCTGCAGAGGACCTGACCACTGCGTGCTGTAGCCATGCCCTGCTATTGATGTTATGACAGGCACACGGTGGTGCCTGATGGCAGCCAGCATCAGCCCTGAGACTCAGGGGAGCTGCTGCCCCAGACAATTTTACAGAGTTTCAGAGTTCCCCTCCACGTTCTTCAGTTGATCAGAATTCCTAAGTGTCTTTACTCAGTCCTTACTATAGGTTTATTGGTTTTCCCATATATTTCCTACAGTGAGAAGTGTTTCTAAGTTGCTTTCTTCTTTCTCTAGTAGTCTCTTCCCTCCTCCTCCTTTCTTTCGTTTCTTTCTCCCCTTTAAAGTAAGAGATGAAGACGTGCTCACTGTGTTTAGCCAGGCCAGGGCATCCCTGTGCACTAATCATTTATACCGCTAATCCTAGCCCTATCATAGACATATCTAAATATCAAGTAGTCACGCAAATTTTCCTTCACAAAACAGGGTATAATAGTGTGTGCTGGCTTAAATGTCTGGTTTTTTTTTTCCCTAATTGTCTAAAGTTCCCTCCACTTTTTGGTGTGATGAGTACTTTAAGATACCACTTTGCTATCAGAATACCTTATTCATAGCCTAATAACAAGTAATCTCATGTTATAAGTTTCTTTGTCGGTAATTACATCAATTTGAATATTTTAAAAACCTGTAAATTAACTATTAAAAGAATGTTGAATGATCAGATAGAAAATTTCTAACAATAGCCTAACCATTTGCTTTTCTAGTTCCTAACCACTTAATTTCTTTTTATGTAATATGATTCATAAATATTGATAGCATTCCAGTTAGCACAGACCATAGTATATTGTGGGTATACATGGAGGCACATCTGTCGGAAACAGATTTACCCATTACCCACATTTAAATACTGGAGTCAGAAAGCTTTTCTCTCTCATCTTCACCCCATGCTATGTATTGAACCCAGGGTCTGGTGTTTCCTAGGCAAATGCAACACTCCATCCCAGGAAGAAAAGGGTATTTTGTTAATGGTTTTGTTAATTTTCACATTAGCTCTAGCCTGTCTGATAGGTGCATGCCAAAGGGGGCTTTAAAGGCTTTCACTCTGTAGAATGGGGAGCATGACTTAGAAATGAATTACATTCTATACAGGGAAATTAATTGAAATTTTCCCCATTAAAATGCTCATAGAGCAAGTAGATTTTTAAAAACATTGTTTTAAGGTGAGGTGTGGTGAAGCACACTTGTAATCCCAGCACTTGGGAGACAGAGGCAAGAGGATGTCTGTGAGTTCTTGGCCATCCTGGTCTGTCTACACAGCGAGCTCTAGGACAGCCAAGACTACACAAAGAGATTCTGTTTAGCTGGGCGTTGGTAGCGCACGACTTTAATCCCAACACTCGGGAGGCAGAGGCAGGCGGATCTTTGTGAGTTCGAGACCAGCCTGGTCTACAAGAGCTAGTTCCAGGACAGCCTCCAAGGCCACAGAGAAACCCTGTCTGAAAATCCAAGAACAAAAAGAGAGATTCTGTTTTTAAAAAAAGCCTTTTTTTTTTTTCCAAATAAAAAAGTTTACTAGCTGTAAACTGAGAGAATGTGGCTCTTAGGTAGTGTTAGCTATATTTGGGTTGTTAAGTGCATGGTGTCTCTGTGGCTGCACACTTGGTTCTTTCTGCTGACTTCAGGGTTTGCTTGTTCCTTGTGTTGCTGCCTAGAACATTTCCATCTTTTGTTCAACCTCTTCCTCACCACATCATCAGCGCACCACCCTCATCGTCTCAGAATAGTTAGGATCTCTTCCTGCGTAAGAGATAATGTCTGTAGAAGCATTCACCGTATTCAAGACCTTATGAGCAAACAACAAGGAATTAAGAGCTGCTAGGTGCTCTGTTAGTAATTAAAGAATCCTGATTCCTTTCATACTAGGATCACTAAGATTCTATTGATTTTCAAAGTTGTCTTTTTTTCTAACCTGCTTGAAACTCAATCTAGTCTATAACTCATACTTTTTAGTACTGAGAGATTTTTATTTTTTAGAAAGTATAATAAATCTATATGTGTATACACATATATTCTTCATGAGAGCTCATTATAATAAACAAGTATCAGCACATTTTTATGTTTTTAATTGAAATAGAATTATATCACTTCCCTTCCTTTCCTCCCTTCACCCTCCCCTACCTATTCACCCTTGAAACCCTCCCGTGTCCCTTCTACAGACTTAAGATAATGGCCTCTTTTTCCTTTCTTTCTTTTTCTTTCCTTTTCTTGGTTTTTGTGGGGGTTTTTGTTGATGGTTTTGTTTTTGGTTTTGGTTTTTTTGAGACAGGGTTTCTCTGTGTAGCTTTGGAACCTGTCCTAGAACTCTCTCTCTCTGTAGACCAGACTGGCCTTGAACTCACAGAGATCCACCTGCCTCTGCCTCCATAATGGTGGGATTAAAGTTGTACACCACCACCACCCAGCCTTGCCTCTTTTGCTTTAGTTATTATTGTTACATATGTATGTATATGTATGTGTGTGTGCATATGTATACATACAGATACAGCTTGCTGACAGTTGTATGTGTATGGTTTCAGAGCTGACCACCCTGCATTGAACAACCAGTAAAGGGGGTGCCTCCTGGGAGAGGTTCATTTTCCTTCTCCCAGCTGTTACAGTTGCTTGTAGTTCTTGATCTAGGGGTAGAACTCGGTGAAGTTTCCCTCACCCCCCTTTCACGTTAACATGTCCCTAGGCATTGCTACTGTTCAAAATGCTCTGAGACATCTAAAACATCTTAGGACATTGAGACATCTGAGGTTCCAGGCACTATTTCTGGATTTTTCCCTCTCCCTTTTGTGAGGCAGTTAGAACAGGACTCTTCCTGATTATGCTGGTTTTATAGCAGAGTCAGAGAGATGGAGACATGAAGCCTTTAGGAGTAGCTGATGCCTTTATATGTGGAATTGCAAGGGTGGGGTGGCCTGTTGGTGCCGGTCTTTCCTTTCTTTTTCTTTTCTTCCTTGTTTTGTTCTGTTTTATGTGTATGGGTGGCTGGCCTGTTTGTTCTGGTACCACGTGTGTGCGTGGGGCCCGTGGAGTCGTGAAGAGGGCATTGCATTCCCTGGATCTGGAGTTACAGACGGTTGTGAGCCACCATGTGGGTGCTGGGACTTGAACGCAGGTCCTCTGGAAGAGCAGCCAGTGCTCCTAACTGCTGAGCCATCTCTCCAGCTCTGGTGCCACTCTTCAGAGACGTTATTTATACTGACTTTTGCTGTCTGGTCAAAGCTAGAGCAAATTATCAGGAAATGGTGTGTGAGTAATTAAAAAAACAAACAAAACCATTTACTTTGGGCTCTCTGCTCAGAATCTGCTGTGGTTGTCTTATGGGTTTTATTGTTTTTTATTTTTGTTTGTATTTAATGGGTTTGCTAGGTTGAGAAGTACTGTAAGCATGAAAGTATTTCTTGATTTTAGAGTAATACTTAAGTAATAACTAAACAGAGAATTACAGCCTCATTAAATAACTCATAATTTTCCCCATATTCTCTGGATAGTGAAGACTGACACAGGAACACTGGGCTCAGCACTCAATTTTGAAACTCTTCTGGGTTTGTGGTTCCAGAGATATTTTTAAATATGTAAAAGTGCATCATAACAATACTGTATTAAGTCTGAGTTATCTCATTCTGCACTAGCAATATTTTAGGAGGGGGAACTGAATCTATAAAGATCTACTGAGCTGGGCACATGGAACTTGTCTCTCATCCCAGCATTCTGGAGTCAGGAACAATTCAGTTGCAAGGCTAGCCACGGCTACATAGTGAGACATGAAATAGTGTCGTTAGAGAAGCTGAGGGCAGTACACATAATGTCGGAACCCTATGGTGTTTTTATGATCCCTAAGACACGCATTTCTGAGTTTGTGTTGTGACAGGGGCTCTGTGAAGGTATGTTATAGTTACATTGAGTTATCATGTATTCTGGAATGTGTCCTGTTTGGATTAGATCAGAATGTCTGAAGACTGCACAGACTGTATAATGTTAGAGTTAATTGTTCTCATGACATGAATGTAATCTGTGTAAATTTGAGAACAAATTTTGCTTATCCGTTGAAATCTATAGCTATATATATTAGCTTAAGTAAGCAATCATATCTTTGAACAATGTTTAAATTACTGCTTTAAGATGTATGTTTGTTTCTAAAAAATACAATGTTGTTTTCACTGAGTTAGCTATTACAGTTTTTAAATGCAGAAAATACATTCTGAAGGACACATTTGCTTTGCTTACTCAATTATAAGGAACACTGTCTCTTTAAGTTAAATGCGTAGTATTTACTAGTACTTGAATTTGACATGTTTTCTCTCCTCTGATTAGATTGTTCGGAAAAAAGCATTGCCTGATAGCAGTGAGGATCGAGACACAAAGGAAGCTCTGAAGGAGTTTGACTTCCTGGCCACATCGGAGGACACAGACAGTCAATCTAGAAGTGCAGGTGACGGCACCGACTGGGGTAAGGAAGCCTGCTGGGCTCAGCCAAGGGCCTTAGGTTCTTCCAGGAGGACGATGCCTTGGAAACACTACACTGAAATGCCACGTGTCAGTGCTGTCTGGGTTGTGTGGTTACCTATAAGGAAGACAGTGTGACTAGTGCCTCCTCTTCCTCCTCCTCCTCCTTTAGTGTATAAGGAATGCAGCATGAAAAGAATTTGGGATAAAACACGGGCTGTTTTGCTTTCTGCTCAGACAAGTCAAACCCACTAACCTAGATTTTGGGGAAACTTGAGTATGAGGATATAATAGAGGAATTTAGTTTTCTTATGTCTTACATTTACATAAAACAAATTATGTTAGAAAGTTATAGTTTCTGTGTTCTTTAGGTCTTTAAAGATTATGCAGGCATAGTTTGGGGGGTGTTCTGATTACTTTAAGTCACTAAATATCTGAAACTTCTAACAAGCACTAACACAGATATTTGGCAGGAACTTCTGTGACAGATTATTGTAGTACTTTAAAGAACTGTGATAAATCCTTCAGAAGTGAGCAGTTTGTCAGATATGTGTATATGTGTGTGCAAGAGAGAAGGAAAAGAAGAAAGTACCTAATACTCACAGGTATTTATCGAGAGAATGTAGTGGCAGTTATTGTGATACTAGTTTAGTGTTCCTAAAACATGAACCAGTGATTTTTTTGTTTGAAGTACTTTTTAATATTTTGTCCATAAAGATAAGGCTTCTATAAACATGGCACAGATACTGTTTTATAGACTTGTTGAGTGCCATTGAGATGCAGATGGACATTATGAGCTTTTCACTGGCTTGTGTTCAGACAGCTGCTTTAAGCATTAATCCAGTAGATTCAAGCGCGGGAACCCAGACTACAATCCCACAGCATGGTATTACTTATATCCAGCAAAATCTTATTTTACCTTTTGGCTGCAAACATTAGAATTACTAATTTAAGCCCTAATCTTTAAAAATACTGTTGTGAAGAAAAGAAATAATTCTAGAGCTAAAAAGAAAAAAACAAGATGTGTTTTCAGCTCTTGACTTACATTAAAAATTTTCTTTCTTCACACTGTTTGATCATCTTAGTAACTAGGAAGGCTCTTTTGGGTAAGTTCAGGGAACAGATTTCTTAATTTTTTTTTAATAATAAAATCCCTGTCATAGCTTTTTTTCTGTCAGAAACTCTGTATATACAATGAAAATTCCTTAAATCGCTTTAAAGGGAAAAAAAGAGGTTTCTCTGCACACTGTGTGTATTCCAGAATTCTTTGTATTCAGATAAACGCCATGCCCCCCCCAATCCAGCCCGCTGTCATGTTAGAGGTATTTGTGGATACTCCTGTTGGGGTGCTGATCTTGTTATTTTCTCTGGAACCTGTGAGAGGAGGGGAGCTGTTGTGCATCTGAACCCTGCTGTCTTTTCAGTCCTTAGACCTCAAGGAAAATGCGTCTAAATCTTGTTGGCAGGTTTTGCCCCAGAACAAGTAAATACTACTATGGTCATGCAATATTATTGTTGGCAGTGATAATCCATTAGATTTTTTTGTAGTGTCTTTGTATGTCATTACATTGCATAGCTTTTCTACTGTACCTTTAAGATCTTACCCTCAGGGACACTGTCAGGGACTGGTGCTGGTCCATCCCCCCCACCTGCCTTTTTTTTTTTTTTAAAGCAAAATCTAGAGCAATTTCAGGTAACTGCAATAAGGAACACAACAGATATCTGAAGACTTGCTTTTTCAAGACACCAAAGCTTGAAAACCAAGGAGAAAGTACAGAAAGAAGGTCTCTCCTCTGCCTTCTGTGCCTGGGCTTATTTCTACTTACTTAGGTATTTTAGGTGGAAACATCTCAAGTGCAGGAGCTGGGCTAGCACTGCCTGGGTAGCTAGCACTGCCTGGGTGGCTAGCACTGCGCGGTGCCGGGGTGGCTTGTTAAGTAAAAGTGCTGGCTGCCAAACCTGGCAACCTGAGTTTGCTCCCTTGAACCTGCATAGTAGAAGGAAAGAACCTACTCCTGCAAGTTGTCACCTGACCTCCACATGGGTGCTGTGGTTCTTGGGATGGGGACACACACACAATAAATAAAATTTTTTGAAAGACTTGGTAAAAAGATTTATTTATTTATTTTATGCCCATGAGCTCTCTGCCTGCATGTATGCCTTTTTGCCAGAAGAGGGCACCAGATCTCACTAGAGGTGGCTGTGAGCCACTATGTGGGTGCTGGGAATTGAACTCAGGACCTCCGGGGAAAGAGTCAGTGCTCTTGATCACTGAGCCATCTCTCCAGTCCCCCAAAGTTAGAGTTTTTTAAATTGGTTAGTCCTTCTGGAAGAATAGACTGTTACTACTACTGACAGATGTTATATTCAGAGATCCAACAGACACTTTTCTAAACTGGATTGAAACTTAATTTACTTTAAAAATAGATTTCTGTTTATTCTGGTTTATTTCAGATAGTTCCAATGTTAATTCAACAAACAGATTGATCAAGTACTTTCCATGTACGGGCTCTTATAGATGAAGACTCCTACTTGTCTGATACTCACTGGCGGATCTAGCATTGTTCATAAAACCAGTAGCACCTTCCCAAAGCATAAACCTCTTTTCTTTCTCTCTCTCTCTTTGCTTTTGATAATTATCTTTTAAAAAGAGATTTATATCTTAATAATAAAATATAATAATATAAAACAAATTAACCCAAAAGAAGGCATAATGATCATTTGCATACTCCTGAGTCCCATAAAAACCCTGAACTGGAATCCATATGTATAGGAACCCAGTGGAGGCCAAGGCAGGCGCTTTGCTTGCTCTTCAGCCCCTGAGCTCATGTGAGCTTTGATTTAGAGTGCCTTGCTTCCCTGGTGTCCTACATCTCTGCCTCTTACAGTCTGCCGCCTCTCTGCAGGGCTCCGTGAGCCCTGAGGGGAGGGATTTGATGGAGAACTCCCATTTAGGGCTGAGCATTCCAAGGCCTCTCACTTTCTGCGTATTCTCTGGCTGAGGTCTCTGTGTTTGCTCCCAGCTGCTGTAGGAGGACGCTTCTCTGAGAATGGCTGATCTGCCTCCCTGGCCGCAGTGGCCTGTCTAAAATGCTTGAAAAGACCATTTAAGACAGTTTTGTGTAGTCTTTTAATGATAATCTTCTATTGCTGTATACATGATGTGAATATTGAAAATGATTATAACATGCTAGGACTTAAATATCTAGGTTTATTTTTTCTGTCTTTTTCAAGGGAAATGTTTTGTCAATTAGGAAATTGAATTGACTTTGTTAGGTGTTACATTTTGTATGTCACCTACTTGAATATAAAAATGGCTTTTTTGGTGAATGATTATGAAAAAAACATTGTGTCTTTCAGACATTTATTTAGCGTGTTTGATATTTCATTGAAGAAAGACTGTTTGTTTCACTCTGTTTAGAAAAGGAAGACCAGTGTCTGGTGCCTGAAGCCTGGAATGTGGACCAGGGAGTAATCAGCAAGCTGAAGGAGCAATACAAAAAGGAGAGGAAGGGCAAGAAAGGGGTGAAGAGTAAGTGGAAAGCACTGTGTGTACACTCCAACGTCTGCATCTTTACAGCTCCCTAGGTTTTGTTCAGTGTTTCCCTAAAATACTTACTCTTCCCATTTCTGCTCCTGGCCACTCCTCACCGGCTCTCAGGGGTTGAAATTACGCAGCAGTTGCGATTATGAACTATGCAAAACTCATATGTAAATAGGGAATTTTAACAAGAATGGAAAACCTTGTAGCATAGACATGAGCTGATGTTTGCAGGTCTGTGTGCTCAGTCACAGGATGTTTACTTCCTGACACTCCATCAAAGTTACTCTCAGTTATGAGACAAAAATAAGTTAATTTCTACCCCTGAACAGTCTGTGTGTTCACAACATGAAATTCATTTGCTCTCGTCTCTATATGCTGTACAGGGCACACAGTCAAACATATAATTTAAATGAGCCTGTTTTCTAATATTAATGTTTTTTGACCACCTTAATTAATGACAGTATTACCAATTACCTTTTTTCCTCTTTCAATAAAATGTATGCCACATCAGAAACAAAGGCCAAAATTAAATTTGTAGCCCTGTGGATCATATAACTCATCATGCAAATTAAAAGCTTGTCGATAGATCTAGTTAAGTATGTCAAAACCTTGATAAAAACAGCATTCAACAGCATTTTAGAGGCTGGAGATGTAGCTCAGTTGGTGGATTGTTTCCCTAGATTGCATGCACAAAGCCTTAGCCTCATCACCGGAACTTGGTAAACGGGGCGTGGTGACACATCAGTAATCCCAGTACTCTGCAGGTAGAGACAGGAGGACCAGGAGTTCAAGGTCTTATTTGCTATGTGAGGAATTAGGGACCATCCCAGGATACATGAGACGTCTCAAAAAACAGAACGAATTACCTTTGTGGAAGAAGATTAGACTACCTTCTTGTGCTTCTACTCATGGACATGATAAATACGGCTTCTCCTTTTCATGGCAGCAGGAACTTTATCCTTTGAGATGTGAACATAGTACAAAATGAGGTCAAAATCTAAATTTAGAGAGAAATAGATTATAAATTGTTGCTTTTTAATTATAGCAAAACATATCAAGACCAGTCATTCCTGGCGGACATTGTTTTACAATTTGGTAGTTATCATTAAAACAGTTAAATATGTATTTAAAAATCTTAGAATTTTTAAATTCTTAATTCAATGAAAAGTCTATGTCCATTATAGATGTTAGCACAGTTTTAAAGATTACTGAGAGATGAGATCATTTAGTGTTACCTCAAAATAGATAAAATCAGAATGAGAAAGATTAAATAAAAAAAACTGTTTAATCCCTTTATTCAAATACAGTAAAAAAATTTAAACTTAAAATATATATTGACACATGATTGCTATGGCTTTTAGAACTATTCCCAAGCCAGTTAAACTAAAATGGTGAGGAAAATTTGTATATCATACATTAGAAAGTATTTCCAGAATAAATAAGTGTTGATGTGTTTCTTTGAGCCATTATGTTATAAAATTAGTGTTTTGGAATTTAAAGATCTTTTAATTAGAAAGGTAGCCAAGACTTCTGTGGAACTTATCTCCTCTTACATTGTGGTTAGAATTTAGCCTTTCAGATCTAACCCTGCACCATTTGACTGGAATGGTATTCCTACTAATAGAAGCAATTGGGTTCCCTGCACCTGGAGATAGAGATCATATTTAAATATATAGTGCATGGACTTTTTAAATGAAGAAGTATTAGCTCTCTGGGGAGAAATGTGAATGGCCTGCACTGAAGATAAGGAGTGTAGACTAAGGTCAGCACATTTTATTCATTCTTTTCACTTGCTATTTTGTTAAAACAGTAATATGAGGACAAGTGAAGATCTGTGATAAAGAGGGAAATGAAGTAAAGCTTTGAATTGGTGGGAGAAACATTAATTTATAAGCTACCAAAATACACTATTTCATTGAGCTGTTGCCCACTGTAAACTTCCTGTTGTCTTTAATTGGTCTGCTGTGAGTATATCCAGTCAAATTGTGTACTCCAGTCACATCATCTTAAATTTTCTAGGCATTAGTTAAAATTGCTTAGAAATAGTTGTGTTCTTTGCTGGTATAGGAAATACCATAACAGACTATGGGTAAGATTTTCCCATTCTTAATTAAACTTGTAACAGGAAAAACTACCGAAGATCTGTTTCAGCCTCTATCCTATATAAAACAGTCAAAACAGGGATGTGGGAGAATGAAGAATCAGAGCCCAGGTAAGTGACCAACAGGGCATGAGACTTCACTTTGGGTTCCATAGCTGCAGGATGTAAGGCAATGGATGTAACTGAATTTAAACAAGCAGGGGCGTTATTGTTCAGTTGAATTTACATTTGGTTCATGATCTGTGATTTTCTTCATTTAGACCAATAGTCATTGGTTTCATTGTAGATGAGTATGACTCTTAATGATAAATATTGGTCATGGCATTCTTTTTCACATGGTGATTCCATTAACTTAATTTACAAAATATACATTTAAATATCATTCTTTTCCAGAAATAATAAACTCTTAAACTTTGAAAACTTCAAAAATAACTACTCCTTATTGATCACTCTAGTAGGATATTTTAAAAGTGAATGTTGGCAGATGTGAAAAAGCTTACTGTACAATTTTTATGAAATGAGTGATTCTGTTTTTTGTTTTTTTTTTTCTCCTCTGCCCTCCCCCTTTTTTGGCTAGGGCCCAATAGGTCAAAACTACAAGACATGCTTGCTAATTTGAGAGATGTTGATGAACTTCCCTCATTGCAGCCGTCTGTTGGCTCCCCTTCCAGACCCAGCAGCTCCAGGCTCCCTGAGCAGGAGGTCAGGAGGGCAGATGAAGGTGAGCACCTGGACCTGTGCCTGGGACGGGTGCCTGAGAGAGCACCAGCCCACACAAGCACAAGCTCTTTCTTAAGTCGGTGGGGTCGACTGCAGCTTCCTCTGCGATTTGGGGGGGGGGGCGAAGGTTATGAACCACTCTTAGTTTCTGGTTTGGAATAAGCCCTAGCTCCATTGACAAGAGTGGTGATAGGCTTACTCAGTTCCAGCATTGAGAAAAATGAGTCTAAAAATTGGTGCTAAATGTTCAATTTATCATTGATTTTAAAAATGAAGGGAACCAGACATGGTGATACATGCTTTAATCCTAGCACTCAGAGGCAGAGGAAACCAGTTCTCTGATAGTTTGAAGGCAGCCTGCCTACAGAGCAAGTTCAAGACCAGCCAAAGGCATAGTGAGACCCTACCTTTCTCAAAGCACCAACAGCAAAATGGAGGGAAAACTACCTGCTTTTGTGCTTCCCAAGTTTCCTTTCAAAAGTCCTTATCCACTTGCATGTATTTTAACATAATTAAAGCTCTATTTTGTTTAACATAAAATCATATCTGATAATTTTCAAGCTCAGCTTTAACACTATACATTATACTTTATATTTGAGATAAAATCCTTTCTCTTGAATGTTTTTGTTGTTTCTAGTAAGTTCAGGGTTGGAGATGTCACTTGGTGCTAGGGTGTTTTTCTGTCACACAGAGCTCAGCTCTGTCCCCTGCACTGGGGTAGAGGAGGGAGTGAAGGAGACAGGGGTATGGGAGGGAGAGAATATTTGCTTGCACATTTAATTGCCTGTTACTAAAGATTCTTCATCCAGCTTTCGGGAAAAGCTTCCATACTTGGTGTCATGTTTGAATTCCAGTTAGTTTTCTGAAAGCTCTTTAAGGGCAGCAGTATTTTGTTACCCAAAGTAACTTTCTTAGCTTCTGAGGCAGAAGAGAACAAGATGCCCGCTCACTTAGAGACATGATGTGCCCGTTGCTGTCTCTGACTACTGACTAGACCTTCCTAGAGTGTTAGTACTAACCCATGCTGTGCTCAGTCTCGGGAGACTTGCTGTTTCAGGAACAAGATAATGTTAGAAATGGGATGGGCAGTAGTGCCCCATGCCTTTAATCCCGGAACTCACAGGAGGCAGAGGCAGGTGGATATCTGTGAGTTCAAGGTCAGCCTGGTCTACAGAGTGAGTTCCTGGACAGTCAGGAGTGTTACACAAAGAAACCCTGTCTCAAAAAACAAAAACAAATGAGAGAGGGAGAGGGAGAGAGAAGAAAGAAAATGTTAGAAATGAAAAACAGAACAAACAAAAGATACCTGCCAATACCTAGTCTCCTAGGCACACATGAATTATTTGACATTTTGGCCTGAAAATTACTGTTTGGACAGTTTCCACCCTGCAAACACCCAGGGTTATTTGAACCCTTCAGATGACATGCAGCAGTCTAAGTGAAGCCCATTTTTATTAATGCCTCTCTTGTGTGTTTGTGGTTCGATAGTGGTTTAATTTATATTCTATTTTATTCTACAGTAACTGTCTTTTTCCTGACAAAGATTTTGGGTTTCTGTTACTGCTACATAAAGTAGTAGTACAGGTGTGCACCATCACACCCAGATACCACTACTGTTTTTAAAAGCAAACAACTATTATTTAATGTGTTCAACAGGTACCTACTATTAAACATGATTAGCTATAGCACTGAAAGACAGCTTTTAAGTCTACTGTGTACTGGATATAATTAACTCACTTCATCTCTTTAGCAAATCCTCTGACTTGTTAAATTCATCTTAAGTATTTCTAATCAATGAAGCAACCTCTGGCAAGGCAAGTTCTAGTTCCCTTTTGGAATAGTTGTCTTTCATGTAATCTTAATTTAACATTTTGCTTTTCATTGGCTCTTGAGTGATACTTGTTGAAAGGGTTGAAGTGCAGCGTTCAGAGTTACAAAGTAGGGATGTTCAAGCTGATTACACAGAAAAGTCCATCTCAGATCACAAGTGGCAGCTATCAAAGTTCTGAGACATCTTTAAATGAAATGAAACGTGTGCACAGATGGGAACAGCTCATTGAATCATCAACATCAGAATTAGCCACTGACTGTCCATGCCATCACCCCAGATCAAGAGGGAGAGCATCACCAACATGTGTGTAGCCACATCCTGTGTGGCCTCTTTAACCACTGGCCACTTGTCTTACTCTCAGAGGCAATTCTGATTTCTAATAGTGTATATTAATTTTCTCAAATAAAATTTGAGTTGTGCAGTTTTCATTCTGAAGTGTTATAGAATTGATCAGTTTTATCTTTTTTTTGTTCTTCTTTTTTTTTTTTTTTGGTTTGTTTTCCTGAGACAGAATTTCTCTGTAGCTTTGGAGCCTGTCCTGGAACTCACAGAGATCCACCTGCCTCTGCCTCCCGAGTGCTGGGATTAAAGTCATGTGCCACCAACGTCCGCTCGAACCACTTGTTAATATACTTCATAATTGATAGATGTTATTTGAGTAATTAGCATGAAATGTCGAATAGAGGGGAAATTTACTTTTTTTTTTTTTTTTTGGTTTTTACGAGACAGGGTTTCTCTGTATTGTTTTGGAGGCTATCGGTCCAGCCCGGCCTCGAACTCACAGAGATCCGCCTGCCTCTGCCTCCCGAGTGCTGGGATTAAAGGCGTGCGCCACCACCGCCCGGCGAAATTTACTATTTTCTCTGTAATGGTAAAGAAAAGGACAATAATTTATTTGTTTCTGCTTTAGTTTTATAATTAGATGATGCTGTTAGGATTATCTGTGAAAAGCTGTCTTTAAGATTTTTCTGATCATGGAATTACACTGTTTACAGAATTGCCTAACACTAATGTAAGGTACGCACATAGCTCCTCAGGTCTTTAATCCCAGTGCTCAGGAAGCTGAGGCCAGAGAATTGCCATCATGCTGGGCAGCCTAGCCTCCAAAACCAAAAATAGAACAAACAAAAGTGTACATGTTCCCTTACCAGAAATGCAGTAAAAGAAGTGGGGACGGGTTGTGAAGTGTTAAGACGTGCAACTTGGGTTTGTCTCCCCAGTGGAAGCCCTGACGTTTCCTCCTTCTTCTGGGAAGTCCTTTATCATGGCAGCAGATGAAGCTCTCGAGAGTGAACTGGGCCTTGGAGAGTTAGCAGGCCTGACAGTGGCCAATGAAGCAGACTCACTGGCTTATGATGTAAGTAGCAGTTTTCTTTTCTATGCCGTTACTGTGTCTGAAAATTAGCAGCTAAGTTTATAGAAAAGTGGCAGAGGTAAAATCTTTTTCACAAGTATGGATCTTGGTTTAGTTTTAAATTTCACACTTTGCAAAGATGGATATAAAAATTAGCTGACATTTCCTAAATAACCTGTGCATTAAAGTTAGAGACTTTGCCTAGATTTGTGGGTCAGTATAGCATACGCATTGGTTTTAGCTAGGGAAAGGGATTCTTTCCCATTGCAAAGTGTGAGCTGTGTTTTGTTCAGGCGCCTGCGATAAGTTGATGTCCTACTTACAGTAGCGCTTGTCCTGTCTCTTCAGGCATCCTCCGTGTGGGCTCCCCTGGGAGCCGGCTTTTCTTCACAGCTGTAGCTTCCCTTCCTTTCTGCTTTTCCTCACAGCACAGTTGTCCAAATCACCTCGCCTGTCGTGGCTGGAAGCACATTTCCCGTCACACTTTTGTCCTCTCTACCTAAACCACGGAGACTTTATTCAGTAGCTAATGTAACTTAGACTTGGTTCTAATGCAGACTCTCTTTTTCCCCCACTCAAGAAAAATCACCAACTTTCCAAAGGTAGTTGTATGTTTTACTAAACATACCAGTAATCTACTGGTATATTGTTTAAAAGTACACAATGAACGAATAGCATTTTGGGAGGTTCTTTGTCTCATAATCAGTCCTTTGTCAGAGATTTTTAGACCTTGCAGGTTCTTTGTGAATATATATTATGAGTTCCAGTTTTGTGGGACTTCTGTGTGAGCACACTTGTGTCTCTCTGTATGTGTTTATTGTGCTTTCCCTTTGCTCATTTTACTCTGTTTTGTCCTATCCCACTTGTTTTATCTTACTTTATTATTATGATTTAAATTTCTGTTTTCTGATGAGAGAGAGAGAAAGGATGGAGATTCAGATAGGGAGGGGGGTATGGAAGATCTGGAAGGAACTGGGGGAGAGAAACTAACGAGAATATATTGTATGAGAAAATCCTATCTATTTATTTATTTTTTACATTCAGATCCCAGTTCCCCTCCCTCCTTTCCTCCCGCTCTCCTCTTTTTCCCCATCCCACCTTCCATCGTCTCCTCAGAGAGGGTGAGGCCTCCCCTAGGATGTCTGTCCCACCACCTCATTGAGTTAGGACCAAGGCACCCCTGCCCATGTCTAGGCTGAGCAAGGTATAGAGAATGGGCTCTACGCAGTCAGTTTATGCATTAGAGTTAGATCTTGGTCCCTCTGCCAGTGACTTTATATACCGCCTAAGCCACACCATTGTCACCTGTATTCAGAGGTCCTAGTTTAGTCCTCTACGGGTTCCCCAGTTGACAGTGTAGAGTCTGTGATCTCTCACTGGCTCTGGGCAGCTGATTCTATGGGTCTCCCCATCATAGTCTTGACTCCTGTGTTCATATATCACTCCTCTTTCACTTTAATTGTACACCTGGAGGTTGGCCCATTGGTCAGTTGCACAACTCCTCATCTGCTTCCATCTGAAAAAAAATTTGGGGGGGTTCACATTTTTATTGGGGGGCAACAGGGAAGTATCCCATCAGGAGTATTCACAGGTTCTTCGGCCATTCCAGGCTTGGGCTCTGAGGATCCTGGGGGTGGCTGGGCACATCAGGCATGTTTCTATTATCTCAAACAGGCACTGGGTAGTTGTAGAGTGTGGCTCTGTTGATCATGCTGGCATACTTGGTGTAGGAGCTGATTATGGGCATAATTATAGCGAGGCCCCAGACTGAGAAAGACACCACCAGCACCAGATGCTCCACCCAGGCATTCTTAAGGAAGGCGGTGAGTCTTGTGGCCATCTTGGTCTTGCAGGCGACAAGGGCCAAAGAAATCTTTTTTAATAAAAGAGAAATAGAAAAGAAAATTATCATTTTTAATCTCTCTACATCTAGAATCTGGACTGTACAGACTGGCTCGTCTGTGTTGTACTGGCTGCAGTAAAGATACTGGCATTGGCTGTGTTCTCACTTGAGAACTTGACTTGGAGAAGACCAAGCTCTGTCAGAGTTGTTGGCAGGCTGTGCTCCGTTGATGGTCATTGGCTGAAGACTAGTGTTTTATCACATGGCCCCCTGCGTGGCATCCTCATGGCATCTAGTGTCCGCACTCTGAGTGCGTGTGTAAAGAGAAGCACAGGCGAAGGTGTGGCTCAGTGACTACCTAAGTCTTTTCCTTAGCCTCCCAAGTTCTGGGATTGCAGGTGTGTCACAGCCATTTTAACATTTTCTATTTCAAGTTTATAAATCTTGTTTCCATCTCAGTGAAGAAAGAAAAGTTTCAAAACATGTTTTAAAAAGTGATTATTTTAAGCTGACAAGCTTCCTAAGGTTTCTGTTGCTGAGCTGAAACACCATGATCAAAAGAAACTTGGGTCGTACAGGTTTTGTTTCCGCTTAGTTGCATGTCAGTGTCTGTCACTGAAGGAAGTCGGGGCAGGAACCTGAGACCAGGGGCCAAAGCGGAGGCCGTGGAGGAGTGCTGATAGTGGCTTGATCGGTCCGCTTTCTTAAAGCCCAGGACCACCCACCGAGGGGTGGCATTGCCCACAGTGAGCCCTCCCGCATCATTGCCCATCAAGAAAACGCATCACAGCCTTGCCCATAGGCCCAACTTCTTTCTGTTGAGGTCTGCTTCTCAAATGCCTAGCTGGTTGACACAGTTGACATAAGACTAGCCAGGACACAGACTTAAAGGAAGAAAAAGAAAAAACAAAACAACAATAAAGCCTAGTTCTTTGATTCAAATTACATTTTCTGTCTACAGTTTGTATTGAGTTGCTTGATTTTGAAAACACCCTGGTGATTGTTCTGATGCAAGCGCCAGAAGAAGCCATTGCTTCATGGTGTTCAGGGAAATGCAGAGGAGAGAGCTGGGCCTCTGCTTCTCCCAAGGGAGACCTTTCAGTGATGTCACTGTCTTGACTAGGCTCCATCTGCTAAAGACTCCACCTCCTGAGAGTGCCACAGGCTGGTGACCAAGCCTTCAAGCACATTCAGGATCGAAACTAGCAATAGTAGAGATACACTTGGGATCATCACTTTCCTACAGTTTAGCTTGAGTTATGTTAACTGTTCTCTTATTCCACATTTCTTATCTTGTCAATGAAAACTGCCACATGTTGCTAATTTTGCTCATTACTTTGGTTGTTTGCTTTAAAAACTATGTTGTTTTAATTGAAGTGAGGGAGGAGTGATAATATGAACAAAGGAGTCAAGGCCATGATGGGGAAACCCACAGAATCAGCTGACCCAAGCTAGTGAGAAATCAGTGACTCTGGTCTCACAAATGGGGAACTTGCATAAGATCAAACTAGACTCCCTTATTATAGGTGACAATGGTGTGACTGGGACAATATATGAGGCCACTGGCAGTGGGTCCAAGATCTAACTCTAATGCACAAACTGACTTAGTGGAGCCCATTCTCTATGGAGAGATACCTTGCCCATCCTAGACACAGGGGTTTGGGGATGGAGAGATGCCTTGGTCCTGCCTCAATGAGATATGGGACAGACTTAGTAAACTTCCTAGGGGAGCCCTTACCCTCTCCATGGAGCAGATGGGAGGTGTTTGTGTGTGGGGAGTAGAGGGAGTAGGAGGAGAGGAGGGAGGGGGGAACTGGGATTGAAATGTAAAATATAAAGTACTAAAAAAATTTAAGAAATACTGTTTTGAGAATTGTACAGTGTAATAGTTTATTAGCAAATCTGCTATCCCAACTTGATATTTTGTTTCTTTAATAGATAGCAAATAATAAAGATGCCTTGAGGAAGACGTGGAACCCTAAGTTTACGTTAAGAAGTCACTTTGATGGCATCCGCGCCCTTGCTTTCCACCCCATCGAGCCCGTTTTAATCACAGCGTCAGAGGACCACACACTGAAGATGTGGAATCTGCAGAAAACAGCCCCAGCCAAAAAGTGAGGACATTCTAATTTTCTTTTTTTAAGGGTTAGTTAACTTTTTTATCAATGGGGAAAGACATGTTTAAGATAATTTTCTGTTACAGTTCCAAGTATCTCTCTGGTTCTTTATTCTTTACCATGTCATAGGTGAATCCTCCAGACAGTCTAAGGGTTTTTATCTGATGGTTCCCAGGGGTTTGTGACTGCTGATTACAGTCCTTATGCTTAAGCGTTTTAAGTGACTGTTTCATTTATAAGTGGGTCCTCTTGCCTGTAATGAAGATCCCTGTTAATGTGAAGAGATGTAAGTAGGAACACGTGGACTTATCAAGCCTTTGCCCTCACTCTGCTCCATTATTTACAAAGTGAAAGAAGTGGATAGGAACTTCTCTATGCCCTTAGCTTTTCTCTGACAGTTTTCATACTAACCAGTTTGTCTGAACTGAGGGATGCTGTTGTCTTTGCTTAGTTGCTCATTCTTGGTTTGGTGTATAAATGCCAGCAGGCACGCTGTCCTATAAACTGTTTCCTTAGTCCCCAAGCTAGGCCAGGTCTACTTGATGAGGCGCTTCTAGAGCTAATCCTGCACGAATCCATTCCCTCATCCAAACCAGCCTCCGTCAGCCAGGATCCTTTCACTATGTGAGGCAGAAGAGTACAACAGACTGTAATACAGGGCACCACAGAGGTCGTCCTGCCTGTAGAAGAGATTTCTGCTGCCCAGTTTAAAGGATCCTTTCACTATGTGAGGCAGAAGAGTACAACAGACTGTAATACAGGGCACCACAGAGGTCGTCCTGCCTGTAGAAGAGATTTCTGCTGCCCAGTTTAAAGGGCACCAGCAGTGTCAGTGCTGGAAGTCACCCAGGACAGGCAAATTGCTGGATGTAGTCTGAGCAGGATGCGGGTCAGGTCAGCTGCACCTTTGCCTTTCCAGTCCCCAGGTCATAGTATGCTGGTTCTGGTTCTAGCTCAGTCACATGGAGCTAAATGTAAATGTCTGATTGAGGAAATAGTAGAAACAAATTAGCAAAATATCTACACATGCAAATAATAGTACCCTAGTTACCTTGGAGCTGACTTGAGAAATGATAGAATGTATACCTACAAATTCCTGCAACATGATGTAGAAAGTGGTGAGTTCTTACCTTCAGCCAGTGTCTATGATGAATCGTCTGTTAGGTAACGCAGACACTCAGAGTCCTTTTCTTAGTAATGAGCTGATGACTTGGGCAGTTTCCACAGAATCAAGGATAGACATACTAACCTTCATGAAAACACAGGGAAGTTAAAGTACCGCTTGCTGAAATCCTGCTGTGTAAAGTTCTGGCCTTGACTTTTTATATTTAAATTCTCATTCATGTTGAATATTTGATACTATCTAGATTTCATTTTATTTTAAATATAAGATAATTTGAAGTTCTGAAATAATAAAACGTCCCTGTATTAGTTAATTAGTAATATAACTGGAAATCACGTTCTGAAAATTATCCTTCACAGTCCATGTTTTCTCTTGTGAATGATGTTCTCTCTTGTTACTGGTCAAATTGTAAGCATGTGAGGAGTCTGTTTGACGTTAGTGGATCAATTGTAACAGTGTGAGGAGTCTGTTTAACATTAGTGGATGAATTGTAAGTGTGAAGAGTCTGTTTAACAAGGGGCCACTGCTAAGGTGGGAGTTTGTCCATGCTGTGAAGGTATAATTGGGATTAGATGAGCCTCTGTATCCTGAGACTGAGGATGTTATCACCATGGAGACCACAGTACTACAACTTAATTATGTTGTCCACTACTGAAATGTGGGATACTTAAAGTCATCTTCTTTCTCTGGCTTAGGAGTACTTCTCTTGATGTGGAGCCTATCTATACATTCCGAGCTCATAAGTAAGTATGTGGTTTTTCTTTATATTAAGCCAACATTTTTTAACACAGTTTGATTGGAATATCGTACATTCTTTCACTTACATATTTTAATATAATTTTTCTATTTAGTAGTGATGGGGCCTTTTTTTGTAAATAGAAAAGAACCTGGCAGGTAATATAAACACCAGGTAGAGACCCTGGTATGCATACATATCAAGGTACTTAAGTTAAGTCCTAGAAATGCTAGCACTGGGTACTTGCTGCTCCTCCAGAAAACTGGAGTTCGGTTCCTAGCAGCCGTGTGGGGTGGTTCCCAACAGCTTGTAACCCCAGCTCCTGTGACCCCCACACCACTCTTCTGGCTTCTGTGAGCGCCTTTGCAGAGGTGTCATACAACCACACATACAAGTAAAAGCTTGAAGTAAGTTTCCCTTAGACATAACCTACATAAAAATTATTCAGAGTGTGGGTATGTAGCTTAAAGAGAAAAGGTTTGTCCACCGTGCACGAGGCCCTGGATTTCCTCCTGAGTAATGTATGCTCATACACCTGCCTCTTGTATTTTTAACAGAAGTTTTATAGTAATACATATTTTCTTATTTCCATGTTTTCACTCGATTGGTCACAGACATTGAAATGCTTTTTCTGTACTGGGTGAGAAAGTCAATATTTTTCAGGCTTAGAAGACCATGCGCTCTTGTTGAAACTTTTTTTGTCCTCTTTTGACTTTTGTTTCAGATTGAACTAAGGGTCTTAATTCATGTAACATATTCTTGGGTTTGTTGTTGTGTGCTGCTATTTTAACCTTTAAAAAGTATTCATAGCCTAAGGACTATACTAGGACTACTAGATGAATTTGGCCTCAAGGCCCTAATTTACCAGCCTTTGGTTTGGCAAAGGAAGAAAACTATTCAGTAGTACTTCATTAATGTTTTTAATCATTGTGAAAAGCTGGAAAGTAGAAAGGCAATTGAATAATTAGATGTTCTGAGTTTTAACAAGTTACATTGTAGAACTGACATTTGAGAATTAGCAGTTTACTGGACACCTGTTGATCTGTTTCATGTCAGAGGTCCGGTGCTGTGTGTGGTGATGAGCAGCAATGGTGAGCAGTGTTTCAGTGGTGGCACAGATGGGCTGATTCAGGGCTGGAACACTACCAACCCAAACATCGATCCCTATGATTCTTACGGTATGTGCTTCACCAAAGTTCTGAAGTGATGTTGTCTTTGTACATTTTTTCCTAGAGTATAGAAAGGGTAAAATTATGTATTTAAGAGACTAGTAAAGAGAAGCATGTCTTTATGTCATTTAGAAGGATTCCTGTAAATACAGCAATCAGCTGGATAGTTAGTGCTGACAGTAAAAACACACTGTACTTGAGAAAAGAGTTCATCTCTGCAGTCTTACTAGACAGAAATGCTGGTTTGGTTAACGCTTACTTTCTTGATGTTAGACATTCTGTCGTACTTCAAACTTTGCAACTCATCTGTAGTCATATTTCATTATTGTTTTTTTGTTTGTTTGTTTGTTTTTGGTTTTTTTGGTTTTTCGAGACAGGGTTTCTCTGTGGCTTTGGAGGTTGTCCTGGAACTAGCTCTTATAGACCAGGCTGGCCTCAAACTCACAGAGATCCGCCTGCCTCTGCCTCTGCCTCCCAAGTGCTGGGATTAAAGGCGTGTGCTACCAACACCTGGCTCAGATGCTTTGGTTTTAAGAACAGGGTTATGACATGAGCTCATATTATACTGTGTTTTTGATGCTGCTGTAAATTCTCTTGTAAAACTCCTTAGAAATGGGCTGCTTTAAGTTTGGAGTTAATAACAGAATGGTCTAACATGTCATGTTTGTCATTAAAAGCATTTTAATGTCTCTGCCAAACTAAACACAGAATCAGCAAACAAAATCTCTTCTTACATTTATTTAATTAAATGTTAAAATAGAACTTTCTTAAGAAAGCAGGCTTGTGCTTCTTAATTCTAATTTAGAATATTCAAGATCCATTTGTATATTTCCAAAACTACGTGTAATTACTGCAGCATTTCAGAAGATACTGAAACTGGAAGACTCTGGTGCTCTGTCTTACGTTTTACAGTGAGTCCTAACTGATTCTGCATGTGCTTATTTTGCGCAGACCCTTCTGTTCTGAGAGGCCCTTTGCTGGGCCACACAGATGCCGTGTGGGGGCTGGCCTACAGCGCAGCACACCAGCGCCTGCTGTCCTGCTCAGCAGATGGCACTCTGCGTTTGTGGAATACAACCGAGGTCGCTCCGGCACTGAGTGTGTTCAATGATAACCAAGGTACAGCCCTTAAAGTTAAACACTTCCAGGTCTTTTATTAAACATCCTCCTACTCTGAAAAAGCAAGCAAATGATCTATAAACTCTTGACTGTATAAAATTTAAGGCTTTTTTTTTTAACATACCAACATTGTTGCTTGACATTTCAATGTGTATATAATTCTTAAAAACAGCGTTTGAGGGGCTGGAGAGATGGCTCAGTGGTTAGGATCACATACTGTTCTTCCTGAGGGCCTGAGTTCAATTCCCAGCACCCACATCAGGTGGCTCACAACTGCCTGTAACCCTAGCTCCAGGGGTGTCTCACACCTCTGACCTCAGTGGGCACTTGCATTCATGTGCATAAACCATACAAACACACACACAATTGAAATAAGAAAGGAAACCAGCATTAGATGAGAAAATGGGTTTACATTTTTAAAATGAGGCATAATTTATCTTCATTGAAGGTTAAATAAAGGCGTGAGGGTGTGCTCTGATGCATCTGGTGACCAGGGGCCGTCCTGGAGCTGGGATAGGTCTGGTGTGGCTGCCTTGTGACCTTAGTCAGTCCCTGCTGCATATCCCAGCACCTGTTGTCAAGATTACTTTCATCGTAGATCAGTTTTGTCTGTTCTGAACTATAATAAAATAGCAGTTTAGGATGTAATCTGTGTGCCTGGCTTTTCATCTTCTGTAACACTTGTGTAGTTCAGGGTCAGTTTATTTCCCTTTGTTATGTAAGAGTATTGTATTAAGCCATGGTTTGTCTATTCGTGTATATCCTGATAGGCATCGAGGCTGTTATGAGCAAAATTGCCATAAAACGTCATAATTTTCCTGACCTATTCATTTGCCTCTTGGTATTTACTGTGCTGTTCCAGTGTGGGACTTAGGAATAATTTATTATGACCATTGATATATTTTCATTGTGGGTAGTAGAGACCTTTCTGTAGGCTTGCTGGGCTTTAGGGTGGGTGTTTTGTTATTAACTTACGTGAAGCGACCAACTGTGTTCCCAAGTGCTCATTGGTACTTTATAACCTGGGCTGCACCCCCTCAGTCTTGATGTTGTCACTCTGCTTTAGCCTTCCTGCGGCTGTGTGGCCGTGGTTCCCTTCTGTTTCAGTGTTGAATTCTTTGACAGCTTATTTGGTTAAGTACTATTTCTTTTCATTTGCTATTCCTAGAACTTTTGCTGTTCAGTTTTGAATCATTACCTCTCTTTAGTTAGGTGTTGAACCAAATGAAACATTATTTTATTTTTATATTTATCATTCTGTTTGTTTTCTTGTGGTAATGCCTCACTATATAGCCCTGGTTCACCTTGAATTCATTGCCCAGGCAGACCTCAGATTCACAATCCGTGGGCCTCTACTTCCAAGTGCTTGTATTTAAGGAGTATGCTACCAAACTGGCTTTATCATTCTGTTTTTGGTATAAATGAGTTCCAAGTTTAGCCCCCTAATGATACCCTTTTGTATTTGTGTGGTGATTTGCATGCTAGACAATATTCTACCATCGAGTTACACTCCAGGCCATAGAACACCTTTATGCTTCAGCAAAGTCAATGTGCACTTAGACTTTGAAGACTTAACTCCATGCTAGTATGCACAGTACCACTGAGCTGCACTCTAGCCTAAGACTGGATTTGTTTTTGTTGTTTTCTTTTCTTCAAGATAGATTTTTAAAATACTGAGTTCCCACTGTGTTACTCTATGCCTGAAATGGAAGTAGAGGCTGTAAAACTTATGGTCCATATGTTTTCATTTTCTTTCTAAATAAGTTTGCATTCTCTGAGTGGATTAACAGAATAATGGGTAGAAAACATTTAACAGGTAAGGGTAATAAGATAGACCAAGACTGAAAGTTAGAAAAGAAATACTCTTTTCTGAATGGTCCTAAAATAACTTATTCTGATGTTAAGCCTGATTAATTAAAGTAAATCATACTTAGTTTTGTTTTGTTGCATTTTGAATACTTTCTCAAATAGACCTTTTAGCTGTCATTCTCTCTGAATATTTCTGACACTCAGAACTGGGAATCCCTGCTTCTGTGGATCTGGTGAGCAGTGACCCGAGCCATATGGTAGCATCGTTCAGCAAAGGGTATACAAGCATCTTTAACATGGAGACACAGCAGCGAGTCCTCACTTTAGAATCCAAGCTAGACTCAAGTATGTATACCAGCCTTTAAAGTCTCTCTATTCATTTTTAAACTTAATCAAAAGTGTAACTGCCCAAGTTTATATGAAGAATGATTGAATCATAAAGTGTTCTATTGCCCAAACCTGAGAACACATTTACTTTAAGAAAAAAAAGAAAACTTTTGTTTTAAACTTCAGCACAGTCTAAAGCAACCAAAACAAACAACAGAAAAACTGCACCCAAAGAATTTATTCTATGTAGCCACCTGGCATTTTCTGTTGTATATTTAATAATAAGCTGAATATAGTAATTAATATCTTCAAAAATTCTTAGTGTATGACAATTATATGCTTAAAAACTCAAAATCTAGTGGACTGCAAGACGGTGGTCTTTTCTATTATGATGCAAAGAGGAACAAGGCAGGAGGCAAAGCCCTCGTTTTCATGTTCAGATTTAGGTCACAACTACCTGAACAGGGTTCCATGTTGGAAGGGACTGAGGGCTAACTTTGAAGATTATTTGTATATTGGTGGTGTTTGATTTTGTTTTGAGACAGGATCTCACTGTGAATCTCTGGCTGGCCTGAAACTCACCAATGACAATGAGGCAGGCTGGTCTCAAACTCACAGAGTCCATATCTCTAGGCCAAGTCTTAGAGGGCATTCATGCATAGTAGGCGGTGGGAAAGGAACTCTGACATTTAATTACCTGTAAATGTGCCAGGGTGATTTACCTTAGGCAGCTCTTATTGTACAGCCGTGAAGTTAGAGAAATAATTGGAGAATAGCTGAACCACAGCCAGACTAAAGTTGCATTGTTTATTTTTTTTCTCTCTTAGTATTTATATCTCCTTTATATGGAAAAAAAGCCCTACTTGACTAATTTGTATTGATTTTTAATTTTCTATTTTTAGCAGCCAATTCTTCCTGCCAAATAAATAGAGTCATCAGCCATCCCACTCTTCCAATCAGCATCACTGCTCACGAAGACAGGCACATCAAATTCTATGATAACAATACAGGTAAGAGGACTGCGTCTGCTGCAGCAAAACCAACAACAGCAACAGGAAACTAAGACGGCAATAAACACCCAAGTAAGCTCATTGTGGTGTCTAGTGGGCACCTTACAGTCACAGAATGGGCACTGACTGAAACCGTTTCTTCACTCAGTTTCTGCTCATTTCCTTCATATCTGCTGAATCTATTGTCTAAAGCCACGAACCTAAGTACCAATAAAAACGATCTGTTGCAAGCCATAAGGAGAGAGTATTAATAGAAGCATATTGGAAGCAGAGGCTGGTAACTTTTGTTTTAAATTGTCAGTTATTGAACAGCTGTGCTCTGTTCTTAAATGGGTTGATTCAGTGTTGCACATGAAAATCCTCAGGTCGTGTGCTTTGTGTGTTTTCCACAGGCTGCTCTTGTCTGTGTTACACTACAGTCTGAGTCCTGACTGGACTGAGGCGTGGGCCTTTCCCAGTTTGCAGTGGACTGCATTTCACCAGTCTAAGAAGCACACAGAGAGCCAGAGTGGAGGGAGGGCCTTTGTATGAACAGCCATATTGTTTTGGCTATCTGTCTTTTTAATATGGCCACTTGTGATTGTGTTTAGTTGCTAACAGTTTAACTTTTAAAATTCTTTTCTGTGTCTTGTTTCCACCAAAACTGTGATCATGTTTTTTTTCTTTTCCTTTGTCTCTTTGAATTTGAACTGTCTGTCCTCATGAGCCCATAGAGTTTGCCTGTAACTAAAGGGACACAAGAAGACTAGTGATGTCTAACTAATAATTAGTGAACATGTAAAACTCACTGAATTTATTGTGGCTTAAAAGACAAACTCACCTGAAACTTAAGCTGTTTGAATTTTTTATTATTAACGTGACCAGAGGCAAGAGTAGGAGATAGGTTGTTTGAACTGATGGAAAGTTGATTCAGGGAGTGCACAGACAAGGATGATTGGGGAAACTAGGGTAGCGTGGAAGTTGGTAAATGGCCAAGCTGAAGAAAACCGTCAATAAAGAGAAACAATGTCTTTTTCCAAAGGCAAACTGATCCACTCGATGGTAGCCCACCTAGAAGCTGTTACAAGCTTAGCAGTTGATCCAAACGGCCTGTACTTGATGTCTGGCAGTAAGTACATTAGCTGTGGATTATTTACTTGTCCTTACCATCTTCATGCTGATACAGTTGTTCCTTTCAATCTCTTTCTTTTGGAATAGGTCATGACTGTTCAATACGCCTATGGAATTTAGAAAGTAAGACATGTATCCAAGAGTTCACAGCTCATCGGAAAAAATTTGAAGAATCGATCCATGATGTAGCATTCCACCCTTCCAAATGCTATATAGCCAGTGCTGGAGCCGACGCACTGGCTAAGGTCTTTGTATGATGTGATGCATTGACTTCACCTTCTAGCTCTTTATAAAAGTCAGCTGCACAACAGAGATGCAGAAGAGCAGGGCAAGCATCAACTCACCCTGCCCTTTTGTTCTGCTGAAGGAGCACAGAGAACATTTGTTAAAGTGTGGTTTTGCAATTCGTGCACTGTTTTCTAAAGTGAAGGTTTGTTCAGGTTGCTGCAAGCTCAGCTGACTCTGTGAGCCTGAAAACTTTCACATTTCCCCCCAAAGAGGCACTTTTATTTCTGAAGTTATTCTCATTCGCTAGGCAGGCCTGAGCGAAACAGGTTTAGCGTCTCCCTTCCTTCCGAGTAAACAGGGCATGCTGTCTGTGATGGATAGTTAAAAGTTGAATGGCTGGGAATGAGTAGAGCGGGAACTTGGATATACTCTACCCTGAGACATCTGCTGAACATATTACATAGTCAGATTGAACTATCTGTTCTACGAATTCTATTGTGTACAATGACCAGACAGTGTTCAAATGAGTTTCTAACATAGCTCTCCGTTCAGCTGTTCCCATAAAGCACGTGGCAAAGTGTTTCACCTATTAGGAGGAAAAGATGCAATAATATGTTAAGTATATTATTCAGAAATGCTAACATATTTAGTTTGCAAGCAGATTTCTATATTGTATTACAATTTTGAAAGTAACTGTGGTACCACTCTGAAGTTTAGCTGTCCAGCACCCATTATGGAGAGTAGTTAAGGGAGCCTGCTCTACTAAAGATTTTTAACTTACCCAGGTTTGAGATTGTTTATTTTTAAGGGCAAACAGGGACCATCTCTATAATAATTTGCTTAAAAATTCACCTCATTTGTGTGGTATTTACAGTGCTAGAGTGATTATTTCATGTTGATGAAATTTATTTCCTAAGTGACTGAAGAAGAAGGCTACTATCAGCTCCCATTTCTCAACACCATGTAATTGGTTCAGAAAATCCTCACTCTTCCTTCCCTGCCTCTCGTGTTCATGTTGTCTGACACCTACCATAAACAGTTTATAATTATCATGTTGTGAGGTCACCTCAGGCAGCTGCCTTCGCAGCAGCCTGCTTAATAAAGCAGTGCACCCTGGAGGTCTGCTACTAGTGCGTCTACGAAGAGCCTCGTAGAGATCTCGATGGAAGGTCTGCCAGGTTCTGCCTCCTCCCCTCCCCGTTTTTTAATTGGAGCACACATGTTAATGAACAGTGAACCAGGACTGTACCTAGAGAAAACCATGTCTGTGACCTCTGTGTGGTCAGCTTTTGGGAGTTTGAGTCCTGCTGACTAAGCGAGTGCCCACCGTGCAGACCTCGTACCTCTAACTGTGGGTGCCCTTCATGGCCTTCACACTCCTTCTCTGCCAGATGACAGAACAGTCTAAATATTAAACATGAATTAATGTTCACCATTCCACCAGAATGTGTGCACCAAATGTTATATCTATAAATATAACCCATTACAAATGATTCCATTGCCATAGCCATGGCATTTCTGGTGGTCTGTTCTTTGAAATAGCATTCTCATGGTGATATGGGTAATTATTGACTTTTTAAAAGTTTCTGCTCATCTGCCTTTAGAATTCTCCAGTGTGCAGGCAGATTTTCATTAACATTGGAAGACCCATACTACTGTAGACATGCTGTAGATTTTAGTAACTACATTTTATCTTTGTGCTTTGACTAACAAGCAGACCTAAGAGACTGACTGGTATACACAGTGAATTGCTTGTTTTTGTGCAGATCAAGAATTTTACACTGTTGTGATTTTCCATCCTTCGTAAAGTGAGCAAAAGGGTTTCCTAACCCAACATTTTTAGAATATTAGAAGACTCCAGGAAGAAGTAGTGTATTTATGACCACAGTTATTTTCCAAAGCCTTCAGTGTATGTCTTACCCTTGTCACCAACATTCTGGAAACCAGGAGAGGCTGCCCTGTTTGTTCTCTGTCGCTTGGTTGGGTGGGAAATAATCCTAAGATAGGCAAAGTGTAATACAAATGATAGAACTGTTGAAGGTTTCTTAGCCAGTGTGCTTTGTGCCATTGAAAACTGTACATAGAAAGATTCTTCTAAACTAGCCCTGTTTGCTCTCAGCCTGGACATGAGCCAAAGCTGTCTTCCAGCCAGATGGCAGTAGCATGGACATTTGTCTGACTTTCCCCGTCCTAATGAACACTTTCAAGATTCAGAATCATTGAAATGCTTTCATAAATATTTACTGGATTGTAATATTCTGGGTGAACTGTTTTGAAATAGTATGAGAATCAGCAGGTGGTTAGGTCCCTGCCTTATTTTCATGTGCTATGGATACGTCTTTGGGAGCTAACAGTACCTGTCTCAAAACGCAGCTGTCACAGGGAGCTCATTTGCTACCCAAACCATAGGCAAATAAGTGATATAACGACCTTCAGTATTTTTCTATTGAACAAATTTATCAATTTTTGCCATTAAACAGATAATTAGTTATGCAAAGTATTTAGCTTTTGTAATCATTTAGTTGTAACTAAAAGGGGAAAATTGAACTGTATCACTGATAATGAACTTTGTGAGAAATTATTTGTTTATCTGACTTCCATTCCTTCAGTATTCTTGCTATAAATTTCTTTTGGAGATATTGATTCTTTATTTGAAAGATGTCTAAAAATGTATGTATATTTTATAAATATATATTATATATATTATAGGGATATATATAATATATAGACTATATATATATATCTAAACCATGGGTGCATTTTACTGTTGTGTTCTCATTTTTGGAGGTAGTATACTCAGAAGTTGATGAGTATGACGAGTGTTGTGCTGTTTGCTTTTGCAGTATAATATATAGTTCTAAGTGTTTAAATTACTGTATATACTATATTCATTATAGGCTAGCATGCTTGTTTTAAAGACTGTCATTCTAGTTTATTAAAATCTGAATGTAAGAAAACCTGGCTATTCAAATGTGAATTGAAAAGATTCCATTCTCAGTGCTCAACTATTTCCATTGAACATTCAAGCTTTTTGACAAAATGTGTCATCAAGAAGGCAATAGCTAGAAAGTGAGAGGTGCCTTTAAAAAATCTACAAATGCAGCCTTACAGCGAGGGTGAAGATTGAATCTGTGTCAGGGAGCGGGATGGGGAAGAGAAAGCGTGTGTGCGTGCGTGTGTTGTGTTTGCCAATCTGTAAAATCCTGATTTGTGACAGTCAGTGTCTTAATGTATCTGCTCAGCTTCTAGGGCCCCAGGGGACATTTTATGCATAGTCTTCGTGCTCTTTGGAGCACCTTATATGCTTCCCGAGAGTTTCAAATGTGAATTCCCAGAAAATTCAGTAAAGAATAAAATGGCTGTTTTTTGAATTAAAATCGACTTCAGATAACAAAGTATTGGTTCCCCAGAACTATGGGCTTCTTATTGATGATGTACTTTTTAAAAACTTGTTTTTTTTTCAGTACTTCATATATTTCCCCACTCACAAGAGTATGTCATGAAATTCTTATATGATGAGGTTTGAACCAGTAAAAATTGTTTTCAGATGAAACACTTGAACTAATTAAAATTCCACCTAAGAATAGTCTTGGGAAATTGAAATGGCCTCTCTCATATCTACCTCATTGTCATTGCTGCCATTTTCGCAAGGACAGATCTCTGTGGCGTTAGAAATGACGGTTGATGCAATTTGAACATCTGCGCTTGTTGGTGCTTCTCTCACTCGTGTCTTCACAAAGGGTTACTTTTAGGGGTTTTGTTTGTTTGTTTGTTTTTTGCTTATTTGTCAGTTTTGTTTTCCTCAAGGATGACTTAAAATACCACCCGTGTTCTTAGTGAGTGGGGAGAGTTTTAGTCCCTGGTTGTTATGTGTAATATTTTTAACCAAGAATGAAATTGTTACTGAATTTACCTGAAACTCCAGGCATAGTGGCACACTCTTTAACCCAAGCACTTGAGAGGTGCAGACAAGAAGACTCCAGGTTCAAGTTTATCCCCAGCTCTGTGGGGAGTTCAAGGCCAGCCTGGGCCACATGAGCCCTTGTCACAAAACAACAACACAAAGTTTACCTGGGGTGGGGGAGAAACTGTGATTTTATTTGGCTTACTTTATTCTTTACTTCCACACTCTTAGGTATATAATTACTCACTTCACTGGCTTAGAAGTTGCCTCCATGACTGTGTTACTTGTATACTGCAGTACTCAGAGTGTTTGACACTGGGATTCTGATTGTACAAAAGTAGTATCTGGTGTGTGTGTGTGGGGGGGGTATCATTTCCTAAAGTCCATTTTAGTCTAAGGTCAGAAGATGAATAAATCTCTGTTTAGCAGGTAAACAATTAGAATCAGTTTTACATTTGCCACTGGAAGCTTTGTAAGTGCTCATATCAAGCATGCAGTGAGGTCTCCGTGTCAGTGGAAGGAGCTCCACATTGGCCAAGTATTTAATAGAACCTTCACATCACTTTTGTTGTTAGGTGTTTACCGTTGAGGAGCTTTATGTTAGATCAAGAGAGCTTTAGATTTCATTTAACTGGAACCACATGCTCATCACCCCTCTGGTGCAAATTAGAAAGTTGATGTTAATTTAAGTTAACTTCAGTGTCTGCCTGGGTTTTTACCAGGCTGTGAACCAGTGAGTGCCTTGTTAATGTAGAGTGATTTTCCCCGGTGTACGTTAGCTCTTTCTGAAAGGATCTCAGAGACTGGGGTTTGAAGTGACTTGTGCAAAGCTGCTGAGTTGACAGTACAGCATTAGGAAGTCTTTGGTCTGCCATGTTCCTTCTGCTCTTCCTGCTTTCTCTTCATTGGCTGATATTGGCCTCTTGTGAGAAAACTAACATAGCCCCCTTCACATAATGTTTTTCATTTCGGATTAAGGAGTATCCCCTGTCCCACCCCAGCTATATGATCCAATGCCTGTTTTTAGGAAGAACCACTTCTTTGCAATACTAAAAATCTTACCACTTATTTTATGTCTTCTCATCAGTTTACTGGAGTGAACCTCAGGGTATCATCAGTTCAGAATCCCAGGTAACCCTTTCTCTCCACACCCAAACCCCCAGCTGGTGAACCCTGGGCCAGATTGTTTGATATTCAGGTGTCTTCAATTTTAGTTATAATATCAATTAATGTAAATCCAAATGCTAATTTTTGTGGTGCAAGAAGTTCCTTTTGTAAATTCAGGGTATGAATAAGCTAATAATAATATCCAGTTTTGGTGGCTCTGAGTGTATTGTTTGTTTTTAAATAAAGTGTACAAAATAGTTAATGTGCTTATAGGTGTGTCTTGACTTGGACTGCTTGTCAACTCTGGTATCTAGTCATAACTTTGCAGGGAATCAGTTAAAAATGCTTTAATATCTGAGGCTTTTGCTAAAGGACTGATAGAAGGATGCAGAGAAACTGAAGAGGATTAGACACAATAGGTACAAATACAGAGTAACAAGACATGCTCACTACAGATGGTGAGAAAGGCGGGAAAACTTGTCATGAAGACTTTGGACCTGAGAAAGCCAGCGAAATTCAAATGCCTCGTGAGATCAGTTCAGCTTGCTTTCAGGGACGCATGGTGTGTATACCCACCTAGTATTTCATATTTGCAAGTGTTTAAATAATTGTTTTAAGTTGTAGATGTGTGTAAACTTAATGTTCTCCCTTTGCTGGGTTACTTACCAACCAAGAATCTTCTACATCCTTGGACCTGCAAGTCACCATTCTTGTTCAAGGGTTTGCTTGCCCAGGATATATGACGTCCCTCCACAATGCAATACAGAGTCTCAGAGACCTCTTCGCCCCCCTTCTTTGTTATATGTTGGCATGGTAATGAGGAATGTATTTTCCATTATTGTCAGAAATTCCCATTTGTTTTTTAAAAATAGGAGCTGACTTATGATTTGCTAGAGTCGTTTTGGAATAATCTACCTTGGAAGGTTAAGAGAACTCAAAACTACTGGTGAATTGCTGAATCTCTGGTGTCTAGGGTCAGAGTAATAGTATGACCTGCACTGGGTTTCCCAAGACCACTGTGGTTTTGAGAGATCCCAGCTCTGTCCTGGACTTAAGGTACTCTCAGAAGCACCTAGGAGTCTGGTTTTCCTTTAATGCCAACGCCATAACCCTGGAACATCTCTCTGCTTGTGAGCTCGGTTCCCATGTGCTAGGACACTCAGTTTGGTAAAGCAGCCCAGCATGAGGCTCTGAAAAATGGGAATCCTTATTTTTTTAGGGGTAGTGGTTTTTTGGGGGGGGTACTTATTATATATTTTTCAGTGCTGGCCATCAAACCCAAGTCAGAGTCTCATGTATCCTATTCCAGCACTGCCCTGAACTGTGTCATTAAGACTCTAAAGCCTTAACACAATTCCTCCAAAAGAGAACAACTTACTGGAGACCCACAAAGTGCTAAGCCTGCCCCTGTCTTGCATTAATTCTAGATTAAAGGGCGTGGTAGTCGTAGTTAAGCTTGAATAGTAATCTGGTGATTTTAGTGACAAAGTCTGCATGTGTCCTCACAGGAAATTCTTCTTACTTTAATTGGTTTCAGCCACTCAGCTTGCTTAGAGAATGGTCCAGACTCTAACTCCACATTGACTAACCCTGTACAGAAAACTAATTAGCCCAGTGATGTAAAGAGCCAACAGCAAGACGTCTCATAATGCTAGAGCTACATGTTAGCCATGTGCCAAAGCTCTTATGGTCCAGGTTCCCAATCTCTCTCTGTCTCTGTCTCTGTCTCTGTCTCTGTCTCTGTCTGTCTCTGTCTCTGTCTCTCTCTGTCTCTGTCTCTCTGTCTCTCTCTGTCTCTGTCTCTGTCTCTGTCTCTCTCTCTCTGTCTCTGTCTCTCTCTGTCTCTGTCTCTCTGTCTCTGTCTCTCTCTGTCTCTGTCTCTCTGTCTCTCTCTGTCTCTGTCTCTCTCTGTCTCTGTCTCTCTGTCTCTGTCTCTCTGTCTCTCTCTGTCTCTGTCTCTCTCTCTCTCTCACACACACACGCACACATACACTAGACAGATATTTACATAACAGCATCACTCAATGAAAGGCAATGTTAGAAACCCCCACCAAACCCAAGTGAGAAAGTTTGCTCTTTTAAAAGAAGACAAAGTTCTCAGAAAGCAGAGCACCTGTGTCCCTCCGGAGTGTTCCTCCATGCAGTGTGCTGGAATGCTATCTCGTACTGACTCCTACCTCCTTCCTTTCTGAGTGTAACCAAGCAGGTATGTTTGCACATATAAGCCAAGTTGAATTAGAGTGAAAGCAATTTCAGCAGCATTTCGTTTGCTGAGTAACTCAGATGACAACGGGAAAGAAAGAAGCAGCCAGACCTGCCTTCTATTCCTTCTTAAATCTCTTTCAAATTTGCTTCACATTGGTTCTGTTTTATTAAAGAGTTAAAAAGAATAACACCAAGTGTTCTAGAACCTTCTGGCTAGTAAAATAGCAACTAACAGATTTCAATACATTGTAGGGAGCCATGTTAATACGTTTGTCTTGTGTCATTTGCATATGTCAGAATGAAGGCATAAGTAATGTTAACTGAGTGGTAATTTCATGGAGGAAAATCATTTTAACAGGATGAGTACTGTTTTCAATGGTTTTAGCTGCCTTTAAAAACTTTTTTAAAAAGATACCTTTCTCCGTATATTTCAGAGAATCCTATTGATAAAATGATTTCAGTGCACATTTTAGAAGAAGAAAAACCCAGTGGTCCCATGTGTCTTTTGACAGTTGTTTGTGAACCACCCCCGTCCCAGATCCAACTGCTGCGGCACAGTGCTATGCACTCCCTAGACAGTGTCTGCTGACAGAAGCCCGTGTTTTCATGCTCTGCTTGTTACTGGTTACGTGTTAAAACGAGCATGAAGCTCACCCCACGTAGAATCTGTGAGCACTCTTAATAGCGGGTTCATCTCATGGAGCTAACAGTGGTAGAGTTAGGCTCTGCCAAGTCCTGTGTACAGACTGGAAGTGCACAGATCCACCTAACGCAGCGTGCGGTCTCAGGCCACTTAAGTGGAAGCTTTTCTTCCTTGACAGTCCCTGCTCAGTTCCCTGTGTGTCTCAGAAGGAACCAGGCTCGCTTCTAACTCAGACGTGCAGGCTTCCTTCCATTCCTTTCCTTTTGCCCTTTCTTACCTTTTTTTTTTTTTTTTTACTCTATTTTACGTGTATGAACGTTTTTCCCTGCAGGTATGCACGTGCACATTGAGCATGCCTCATGCTGTGGAAGCCAGAAGAGGGCATTAGATCCATAGAACTGGAGTTACCAGCAGTTCTGTGTGAGCTGCCATGTGGTTGTTGGGACTCAAACCTGGGTCCTCTGGAAGAACAGCCCGTGCTGTTAACCATGGAGCCATCTCTCCAGCCCCCTCCTTTTAACCGGCATATTGCTTGTGCATGTTTGGGAAGTGCAGTGTGGTGTTTTGACTCATGTATATATCTGGTAGTCACTTTAAGCTTATTTTGGTGACTACTTTGAGAGTTCTCTCTAATGTTACTATAATGTTGTTAATGTCTGTCTGAATGTAGCCCTGCTGTTTGGGAGAACACCAGAGTTTATTACTAGTCTCTGATAACAACTATGAGGTCTTCAATGAGATACTTCAATTGTCTTCTGCATCGGTGAGATAGTGCCTGGCCTGTGTCTGTATTACACACCACACATGTCTCCCTGTGTCTGTATTACACACCACACATGTCTCCCTGTGTGACAGGGTTTCATGACTGAATAGAATCCAGTTGTGCTGGAAGTGGAGTAAGAACAAATAAATAAAACTCAGGGCTATTAGTGGGGTTGTAAATTAGCACAAGCCTTGTGCACTAATGAAATCTAAGTACTGGGTAGATACCCAAAGGAAGTGAAATCAAGGCAGTGAAAAGACACCCACACTCCAGTGGTCAGTGTTTTAAACAAAGCCATGAACTCTTATTTCTGTAGACTGCTTGAATACACACTTAATTGCAGGTGTTTTAGATTTCAACCTGATTGTAGGTCCAAGCAATGTTATACCCTCAGCATATAGAGTTTATAAACACCTTGGCCTCTAATTGCTGATAAACACATTGAATTTTTATTTTGTGTGGTTTAAAAATTATGTTGGAAGTACAAAGACTAACAAGGAACTTGCGATACACTTATAAGTCGTCTTTGGAAAGCATTTGGAACTTGCTGTGGCACTGTGGCTATAGTGATGAGGGCATTGTCTTGATTCTCCTCTGTCCAGCTCACATTTCTATGATAATAGCTGTCACCTGCCACCTAACAAAATAAAACAAGGATTTGCTTCTGTCTTCATAAGTTCCTTAGGGCAGGGGCCCTATTTGTTTTCCCTGTATTCATTCCCTCTACCACACTTTGCTTGATGACGCACTGTCAAGAATTCAGATGTTTGTTGGCTGAATCAGCAGGGTACCTGTTTCAAAATTCCAAATCTGTATAGATCATCAAAAGCAAGGGGCTGGAGAGAAGGCCCAGCAGGTGAGGACACTTGTCACTCTTGCAAAGGCCCTCGTGCGGTGCCCAGAACCGCACTTAGCCACTCAGAGCCACCGTCCAGCTTAGGAACAATGCTCGGGCCACTAAAGGCCCACACATGCAATCTCAAGACAAAGGGCTGGGAGGTGGGGCTGGGGGATGTCTGGGGGAAAGGCTAACCCTGTGAAGTGCTTGCCTTCCAAGTGGGGAGACTGAGCTCCATTCCCCAAACCCACATGTAAAACACCAGGATGTGGTTCTGGGGAGGCAGGTTGATTCTTTAGGCTTTCTGTCAGCCTTCATTCTGCCATAATTTGGCAAGTTTTAGCACAGGGAGAAACTCTGTTCAAAAGAGCAAAGTGGATTGCTCCCGAGAAACAGCGTCTGAGGTAGACATCCACGTGTGTGGACGTGTACATACTCTGCCAGTCATCTGATAATGCTCAAATGCGTATGGGTATGTGGGTGTGGCCCTAAGATTGAGCTCTGTGCCCTGATTTGGGAGGAATTTGGATTTTACCTCCTGAGTAGCAACAGACCACTCAAGGGGCCTCGCTCTACACCTTACACTCATCACCCTGCCCATCTGGGCCTGGGCCGTCCATATGGGAGAAGAGGTGCCTAGCCTGTCAAGGGCGAGCTACCCTTCTTTCTACACTCCCCTGTAGTAGTGTGCCCGAAAGGGAGCAGACAAAAACCCTTACCCGACACACCATGCATTCTAACCAGACTGTTAGCGGTAAGTGCCGGAGGAGTCACAAGAAAGGTTAGTGTGTCTCTGACTTCATGGCACAAACG